TTGACGTGCATACTCAAAACTAGTACGGTTTATTTTATGTTTGTGGAAGCAGACTGATTATGTAAATTATTGATGTAACATGCGTCTAGCGTCACAAAATTTTAAATTTTAAATAAAGGAAATAACGAATGACAATCACTGATTAACATCTATTGAATGAATACAATTTGAGGGAATATTTCAATTTATTACATGTTGAAATTGTTCACTTTCTGCACTAGTCGAATAAATAATGTAAATAATTTTTTTTCTATGAGTTATAAAAGTAGAAAAGTGAAACATTTATTCAATCCATTCTATCCTGTTTTATATCAGTATCAAAGTGGTCATTTCGCACATAATAAGTATTAGTTTAGTTTCGATTCTTGTAGCAACTTTCAATATTTATAAAAGACACATTATTTAAATATCCAGTTATGCATAAAAGGAAGTTAAATAAATTATTGACTTTCACAAAATTTGATCCAAGCCAAACAGATAATGCAAACTCGAATCATGCTGATAATTACGCATGTCGCAGGTTTACTACGAAATTAACAATCAATGATCGTTGCCTCGTGCGCAACATTTCCATACAAGTTGATATATAATACTCGACTGCGATTTTTTGTCATGCGTACCTAATTGTGGGATTTGTATGGAGTGCATTAGACAAACCACTCTAAATTTCTAGTCCTTAGAGTAAACTATGTACAATTAATTTTGTGCGACGTAAGACGACTAAAAGCCATGCATTAGCATAAATCCACTAAAAGTTACGAAGTTATGTCTTCTCTATTTTGATTGACCAGACTCCACACTCCACACGACAACATGTCATTTAAATATGTATTGAATATTGAAGTGTCCATTTATGTTTATGCAACGTTATATGAATTGCACAAATTGACATATTGCATCATCATTTTCATTTGTGTTTGGTTATTGTCGATGGACAATTATGATGTTTTGTTTTAGAATACGATGTCGTTAGAGTTGGTTTAAAGACTTTGTTTAAATATAGGACCATCATTACTAATTTTGATTTGTATTCAAAATTTTCTACAATAGACGATAATTAGTGGTTAGTGTTATCTAACTTTATTTATTGGTTATTAGGATTTAGTCACTCAATTATGTAGTTTTGTTGTTTGTTGATGATTTTTTATATTTTATCTTCTTTAGCCGTTAATAAAGAATTTTTACAGGCAAATTATAAATGCTGCAACTGATTTGGAGTACCTAATATTGATACTGAAATATTTTTGAGCAAAAAAAAAAAGCAAATTAACTGAGTTTTATTGTAAAAATGGAACTTAAAAGGGGTAAAACAATATATAAATAATAACATAGATGTTGCTAAAGTGCATTATTCACGTAAGCACTTCCCATTTTATTAATATACATTTGCGAATTTACTAAGTTTTTTGTCGGATTTTGTATATAGTAGGTCCAAAAAGTAAGATATTAATTATTTAGACTACTTTTCATTAAAATCTAAGAGGAAGAAGTCACTGGTTAAATTATGTATCAAATATTTGGAAGTTACAGTAAATATTAGCGATTGTAGATCATATACTCCACTGGCACATAGCAACGTTCGTCGTAATAACTGTATTCTCTTTCAGTTAAAGCATAATTTACGTGCACATTTATGATCGATAATTACATGCTGTAGGGATGTATTTACTCAATCCAATAATTTTTTGCAAATGGTCGTGCGCGAACGCATGCGATCAACAATCATGCACGTGCACGAAGTTAATTTTTCCGCTTTGCGTTTGGTTAATTCGATATTTTATCGTGTGATTTATTAGCTAAACGAAACATTTTTATTTGCGTTAACGGCCCGCTTTATTGGAGCATTGTTTTGCGTTTTTTGTCATTAAATTTTAACTGCAGGTAAAAAGGGTGATATATTTTATTTTTTAGGTTTATTTGGTGATTTGGTGATGGTGATTATAGAGTTAACATAGTTTTGGTGTTTTAAATATATTCTTGCAAACAACATCTTTATGCATATTATTATTATGAATATTTATTATAGACTATAAAAAAAACTTAGGTACTTCATGAGTAATGATATAACAATGCATTCTAATACCAGGGTTCTGAACCGTACGAATTTCCGAAGCGGCATTTTAGTGATTCTGCGGAGCTAATACCAGATGTAATAAAATAGAATTAATAGACCATATAAATTTAAGTAATGCGCTGTCATTAAGGATAAAATAATTTTTCGTTTTCTTCATTTTCTTTTTATTTTTGTAGTCCTGTATAAAGTGACTTAAATCCTCACAAGCAATGTAAATTTGTTTCAAATTTGTCAATTTTCTTGTGGTAACATTATGTGCGAAACAATTTAGAATTTCTTTTTGTAATTTGGAGCATGCGGAGACAATTTTCTAAACTGTCAAAAATTCCTTCTTTTTTGAATGGGAAATATGTAATTGATATCTTTTGGGAAAGCCATAATTCCGAATCATTTCATTCATTATTTTCAATACATTTAAACGCCGAGTTGCTTAAAATGCCCAGCAAAACTCACAATTCAATTGCGATTTTCGGCAAAGAAGAATGTATTTTATATAAATTTTAAATTATAGATTATATTATAGATTTTAAGTTTTAAGTTTTGAGTTAAGTTTAAGTTTTTAAGTTTATGAAGATGCCCTCAGGGCGAAACATGTTAACTCAACATATAAAAATTGTAAATCCAATATTCACGTAAAGTTTATAAATAAATATTTCAAAAGATTTTTAAGAGTTAAATAACAGTTCATAAAATACTATTCATAAAAGTTTGAGTTCACCTATAAATTATTACAACATTAAAATATTAAGAATGTTTCAATTAAACACAAATTAGTAATAAATTTACTTTAAAGAACAATAATGACACAAAACCCAAACTCCTTGCAAAATTGATATTCTCTAAGAACCAGGTGTCAATAATTTATTAACGCATTCAAAACGATGTATTTATCACTCATTGAAATTCCATTAAACAACAAAATAATAAATTCATATTTATTTATTGGTACTTAATGCAGTATATAAATTTACTGCAATTCCGTGGAAAACAATCAATAGTTAACGAACATTTACTTGCTGGATACCGTTAATGCGCATTCGTCAAAGGCCTATCTTTCACTCGTCAAATTGTAATGTTATTGTTACTTTTTTGCGCACTTTGCGCACTCAAACATTTGTTAAGCGACGTCTTATTCTTCGAAGTGATAAACAGTGCATTCTGCAAACGCCACACGAAATAGACATTGATGTTAGTGCGAAAATGTGAACGAGAAAAATTCGTGCCACAAATTACTAAAGTGTTGCAGCTTACAGTCCCGTTCTCCAAATGATTCCGGACAATCTTGCAAATATTTTATTCATAAATAAATAAATTGACACTGGCTTCCTGTAACAGTAAAACATAACCCGCTTGTAAGTAGGTATTAACACCAATGCATGAATTATCTGCAACAAAAATCATTTCCTTTTCAGATTGAAAAACAACGGCATGTTACGATTAAAGATGCATCAGATGTAGATGCTGATGATTGTCATCAATTGTGTTTGTTTCTTTTAATCATTAACATATTTTCATATCCTGCTTCTTCAACCATCAAAAAAAAAATGATTCCGTTTATTTTCCAATATAAATTCAATTCGTTTCCGATGAAAATACCGTTCTCATCAGAATTTTCATTTCGTTTCTTTCGAACAGCTTGAAGGCACTTTTTTGTGTAAAAAATGCCGGGCCGCAGGTTCATGTCTACTTATATAACTGGTATACACACGCCAATGTACATTGGCGATGGCATGCTTTCGGGCCTCGGCGCGTATTTATAGAAGAAGCAAGCGAAGAGCTGACAAGATAGCAGGCAATGACCGGCAGGCCGTCCATTGACCGGAGTCTCCATCGCACCGGAGCGGACAACAAGTTCCGGGATTTTTACTTGTTTACGCTCGATTCATGCGCCGCCGCGGAGTCTTTTTACTCCACCACTAACACACTGCTTGCAAGCGAAGAGATAAATAATATTCTCGCGTGTTTTGCAACTCGTCGTGTATCAAATATTTTGCGCATTGCAAATGGCGGCGCTGTGCTTACTACGCGTTTGCTTGAATCTATTGAAACAATGTGATTTCTTGAAACGTGCAGTGGCGTGCAACCTTCAATCGGTTCTGGTCTTCGGTCTCCTCATTTTATGCTACGAATCTGATGGTTTATTTGATTGTCTGGCGTTGTTTTTTCTTTTATATTTTTATTATTATCTTTACACTGCAATTCAACGGCAGCAACCAAGCACGCATTAACACCATACATAATCTCAGCGGGTATAAAAACTTGATTGATTGTCGATTCTGGTCACAAAACTAGTCATACTAATAGTAATAGTAACGTCCTCTAAAACTTTGAAGATTGTGTACGTCAGGAGCTGGGTTTTGTTCTGCGTTCTGCCAGATGATGCAAATCATAATTAAATCATAAACTGCTGCAGCAAATATTTATCATGCGTATAATTACTACAAATTTACACTATTATTATTATAATACACTATTAAATGATTTGTGACATAAGCGGAAATGATCGTCAAATGTGGAATGTTATTATTTTACTAAAAATGTGTATGGAATATTTAGAAAACATAGCATTTGCATTTATATTTAGTGCGGAAGCAATATAAACATCTGATAACAGCAAATTCATCAATATCGTTTTATGTAATTTATAAGTGAAGAGTTTTAAGACGTTTATGTAATAAGTACTAAAATTTAAACAAACTCATTTTAATCTGAAGTGCAGCAAAATGTATTTAATTTTAAAAATAATATTTTGTTACTGAGAATTAATTCCGGAACGTTAATATTTAATTATTTTAATTTATAACTTATTATTATAACACTTTTATTGCCAATTATATAATTTAAATTCTCTTACAATTTATTTAATTTTCTGATATTGCAACTACTGGTTGCTTTCGGAACTATTTTTGACACACTATCCCTACTCTCCCCTCCACTCCGTAAGCTGTTTGTTGGTTTTGTTTTGAACCAACATGAAATGAAATGTTATTAAACATAAAAGATATTCCGAATATTACTCGCAATATAGTGAAAACAATAATAATGGAAGACTTTGACTGGAATGTGGTGAACGAGGGGCATTTGTTGGACGCAATGGTTGGCCACAAACCAATCGGTATGTAAATTAACCTAAAAATATATTTATACTTTAAAAATTAATATTTTCTTTCGTATTTAGGAATAAATAAGCACTTCCAAATGGCATTTATTTGTGAAAAATTTGCTGAAGCGATTAAAAAGGACGTACCATCATCAAAAATATGGACACAGCTAGAAACAATGTACAATCTAGAAGCATTAAATGAAAATGAATCACTGCCATTTCCTAATGAAACTCAAGATTTCACCTTACCAGACTCTGATTTTGGTACTTTAAAACGTAAAAGGGAAGAACAAGATGAAAAGAAATCACAGAAAGGACGTGAAACTCCTAAAAATCTCAAAGAAATCAAAAAAGATGATACAAAAACACCAACAAATACCAGAAACACTAAAAATGATACACCAAGAAGAGATAGCAAGGATAATAAAGATGTTGGTAAAGAAACTAAAGCTACAATGGTGAAAAAGGAAGTTAAGAAGGACCCAGAGCCAAAATCCAAAGCTGTCAAGGGTAGAAACTCAGTGGCTGCAGCAAAAGAAGAAAATAAAAAGAATAACAAGAGAGAAGAATCGCCGCGGCCAGCAAAGAGACCCACAAGAGGCAGTTTAAAACCTGATGAGACAAATGGAGGCAAAGCTAGTCCTCTCACTGCACTCGCGCCTGCAACAAAACGACGGCGAATTTAAATTGATTAGAAGACTGATGTCTGAATGATTTTTATGATGTATGAATAATATTATTTAGTAATTTATATATGTAAAAGATTGATTACAAACATAATTAAAATATTATGTTCAGTTTATTGATCTAGTAAAAATTAAAGTTTTATTCAAATTCTATAAACAATCATTCTTATATCAATAAATACACTAATGTCTTTTCATATTGTGATATTTTCAGATATCTTGAATAATATTCGTTTTCCGGACACAAGTCGCCATCTATTGTAAATATTGAACATGATAAATTCACATTCCGACGTGTGAGGGCAGCACCTCTCGGAGCGTAAAATCGAATCAAGCGTCGACATGCGCAGAGTGCCCAGTGACGTATCCAGACGTTTCGTTTGGAAATGGCATCGTTGTGATGTCAACTACGTGCAGTTGTCATCCACCGACTCGCACTAGGCCATAGCTTAATTAATTTTACTTACACACTATTTATCGATATACCGAACTACGCTTGCCGGACGCTGTTCGCCATCAGTGATATTATATACAGACATCCTAGGTAGCCACACATTTTTACAATGAGCTTAAAAGCGGACAAAGACAAGACGAAACAACTGCAGGACAAGTGCCTGTCGGTGCTGAACGCGCTGCTTCGGGACGAGGATAACAAATATTGCGTGGACTGCGACTCCAAAGGTAACAATTTGCAATTTCTAAACATCCCCTGATAACGTTCAATTATTTCCTCTGATCGGTAGATACTATCATTTCATTTTAGTTTATTTTTTTTGACAACTCAAGTGCAGGTGGCTGACTCGTAGATACTCGTAGATAGAGTTATTAATTAATTATTGTAAAACACAATAGAGGAATCGATTTTGTTTAATTCCACACTTAATTATGTAAAGAAAAATCACTTTTAGGACAAAAGGTATTGCTAAATGCTACTGGCAATATTTAAATGCTTAGTTGTGCTAATATATAAAAATGATAAAACAAGGACTGCTATTTGCAGACCATAGTAAAAAAGTAATTAAATTATATTTTTGTTAATTATTTTTGGTCACACATCTGAATTTCATTAGCATATAGCAGTTGAGCATTGTTAAACATTCATGTATTCCTTCTACTTATTAAAAATACAACTGTAGTTTACTCTGTTTTAAGTTTAATATGCTATAATATATTGTTTTTAATGTTGGTGTAAAATATTGTTCATAGAAATAGAAACTATTGTATTGCTTACTATGTTAAAATTTTGATTCATGGTTACTGAGCAACTACACTCAGTCTTGCAATCAATATTGTTAACAATTGATTGTCACACAACCGTTTCTGCAATTGACTGTAAATTGATAGTTACTATGACACTCACTAGTTGTATGCTTGTTCCGTTATTATTTGTTTATTTATAGAAAATACGGTAGTGCAAAAATGCTAATTAACATTCTAGAGTTGGAGTATTCATGTAGAGTAGTGTTTTGAGTAAGATTGATTTTAAACAAATCGCACGTATTGTTCGAAAAACATGAGCATGAAGCTATTTGTTATCCAATTTGTTTCACTCTCATAGTAATGTATGTGCTACTGCGTTGTGTGATAAAAAAAAAGTGGGCGACAACAACGATAATCGCACGTTGACCAAACGAATCTAGCACGAAATGCAAGTAATGTTAATGGCATTCCCTTTGGCCTATGTTTACTTGTTTAATATTGTCATTCGTAATGCAACGCTGTGATTATGATTCAATTTAATGTCCGTTTTGTGGCTGTGCCCAATAATAGTTCTATGAATTATATTCTGGGAAGTTTAAAGTTTCGTTTGCATTATGTTTATATCTCTTACATTGATAAGCGACTATCTTGAACGAACGTCCTACTTTACGCCCACATTTAAATGTTTCATCGATGAAAACGATTTCAATACGTATTTATATTTTGTTTGCTTTTAGGTCCAAGATGGGCGTCATGGAACCTCGGAGTATTCCTCTGCATTCGTTGTGCTGGCATTCACAGAAATCTTGGCGTACATATCTCAAAAGTAAAGTCTGTGAACTTGGACTCCTGGACACCCGAGCAAGTTGTTTCTCTGCAACAGATGGGCAACTCTCGTGCGCGCGCTGTCTACGAAGCCAACTTGCCGGATAATTTCCGACGCCCGCAGAACGACTCCAGTCTGGAGACGTTCATTCGCGCTAAATACGAACACAAGAAGTATATCGCGCGTGAGTGGGTGCCGCCTACGTTGCCGGAGGTCAACTGGGAGAAAGAAATTGATGAGGAGATCGAACGTCAGAAGCGTAAGAAAAAGAGCGCGGTTGTTGAAAAGAAGTCGCTGGGCGCTGTCGAAGTGCCGCAATTGCCTAAGCCGAAGAACGCCAGCCCGAAACCGGGGCGCGTACAGAGTACGTCGGTCGCTACGCAACCGGCTAAGAGCGCTACCCCGGAGACCAAAAGCAGCAACACGTCCGACTTGTTAGGCTTACAAAACGGCGATGATAGCTTTAGTAATTTTCTTTCAGCGCCTGTGCCCACCAACAACTCAGCGAACAACGCGACACCGAAAAAGGATGAGAAGGAGGTCGTAGATATTAAAAGCGAGGAAGAAAGCTTCTTCAATCAGACTGTGCCCACTGAGAAAGAAAAGGCAAAGCTGACAAAAGACAGCATTTTAGCTTTATACGCCACGGCCCCTCCGGTTAATAACTTCAATCCTAGCTTTAATGCGCAACCGGCCCAGTTCAATGCGAATTTCTCGGCTGGCCAGTCGAATTTTCAGAATTTCAACGCGTTCGGTCAAAATGTGCCACAACAACAACAGAATTTTGCACCCATGCAGAATGGTATGCAATTTGGGGCGAATCAATTCTCACAACAGCAAACTCAACAACCACAACAACAGCAGCAGCAACATTTTCAACCTAACCAGTTTAGTAGTCAACAATTTGGCATGCAAAACACAATGCCAGTACAACAACAGCAACAAGCACCGAATTATCAGTTTACCAATCAATTCACTCCCAATTCAGGTGGAATGATGACGAATAATCAGTTCCAGCCTATGAACCAGTTCCAGTCCACGCAACAGCCGCAGGGTAGCAACAATATGTTCCCGAATGCGATGCAACCGCAGGCGAATCCGTTCTTCAATCAGTCGACGCTGCCCATGCAGTTTGGCAACATGTCACTCGGCGGAGCGAATGGTTCAGCCCAACCGACCGTCACCACTAACATATGGCAATGATGGTAACTTGATAACCACTCTTTAGTATTAGAAAAAGTACCCTGGAACCATCCCATGTTTTAACCGTATGATTTGGAATTATTTCTCTCCAAATGAAAGCGAATCTAAGTGGTGAAATTTTGCAATAAACAAAAGCAAAACAGTGGGATTTGTGAGAAAACTGTCGTCCGTCGCCACGAACGCAAATTTAAATGTACGACCACAAGGGAAACCTATCCGTTCGAGTATTTTTTTAAATTCCGAATTTATCTAGACATGAGACGGAAACTTATAAATTTACGACTTACTAGGTTTATCAATGTGAAACAATGGAATCGCCTAATTTGATCGCCGCTCAATTATTGCTATCGAGAGCGTGCGTGCGGATTAGGCGACTCCTTAATGGCGAGCAAGTGTGTACTCTACTATATTACTACATATGTGTAAAATGCAATTGTCTAATTGTGTTCGAATTTATTTATTTTATTTTATTACTTACGTGAACTTGGACTTGCTCTCGCGAATGCAATGAAAATTAGGTCGAGTGTGGTCGCGGTCATACTGCGTGGGGGTCGTTGCAATAATTATTCCAAAATGGCGGACAGCAAAGCGTTTGTTTCGTTAATCGTTATCTCGGTGAAGTAAAAAGAAAATAATATGGAAGCAAATGATCTACAAATATGTACTGAATTTTATAACGGGTTCTCTTGAGTTGGATTAAATTGGCACTACAATATTAATTAAAATATGTTTAGGCTAAAGAAACCTATGTTGTACATTTATAATGTCTAACAGAATATACAAATATGAAAAATAGTCGATTTTAATAGGCGCTGGCAAGATTTATGCACGTACATTTGTTATTTCGTCTCTTTTTAATGTATGATATCGCTTGAACAACCATCAATTGAAAATCGACAATTTCATCATCATTAAAGGTACATAATGATGGAATGATACCATTAAAAAATGACAAATGTCTATCAGTACTCTCTATTGAGGTGTTGCTTGATTGTGATGGTTGTAATATCTCCATTTGAATATCAACTTTTTCCTCTTTTGGTGTATATTCCTCCTCTTCGTCGTATTTGCTAAATAGAGTGGCCTTATCTTCTTCGTCAACGTTATTATCGTCCTCACTGAATGGAAAGATAATAGTATCCAATGATGATACTTTCCGGCGTTTTGTCTTTTTGTTGTCTCGTATATGTGCTTTTAAAAATTGTAGTTTTGGGGTATATAAATAAGGCTTTGCTGATTTAGATTTATGTTTTCGTTGACTCTTTTTAAACGCATCGCGAATATTATTCCATTTTTTAATTACTTCTTTACCTGAAAGAATCAGATATGATTAGTTACGAATCTTCCGGACACATCGAACAAAATCGACTGAAGCTTTATCCGGCATAATTTTTTTAAATATTTTGTGGCTTAATCTCACCGTATGCGGTCTTTTGTTCATCATCAATGATGTCGAACTCGTTATTCAATTCAGAAAATACTTCATTCCAAGCTTTCTTTGTTTCTGCGCGATTTTTATACGAATCCAGTTTTTGATTCCATAATGTCGGCCGTGCAGCAACCAGTGCAATTAGTTGTTCGTTAAATACACATGGAGGCATAGTAAAATTGTGGTATTGCAAGTTATCGCAAAACTATGTTTCTTTACTACCGGATAGAAATCAAAGATTGTTTATTTTTTGAGCTGTTTTGTTCGTTCAGGTTGCCGGAGCACGGTTTGCCCGGTCGCCGGCTAGGCTATGCTCGGCTGATTTTCACTTCCGGACGCCGCCTAGTCAATACCGGCGCAGTTATTTCTCGGTGTATATTAGGTTGCCTATGTTAACTTATTAACTCATTAAATACCACTGAATCTTTACCAATAACAAGTAACGTATTCATAGCAATATCTTGTTATGAGAATAAGTTTTATGTTTCCGATGAACGTGCAAGAATTCAATTAAAACCTGTAACATTATCGGTAAAAATAAAACATACATATTTTGAAATCATTAAAATTGCTGTTAAATTATTGAGTAAAGAGCAAAGGATCAATCGTGCGTTTCCCGCAAGTATATAAAATGATTGCGCGGTATTCTATCAAGCACAAGTTGCAATTTTTGTGTTTACAAATGGCTGCATTCACATTGCAGCGCAGAACTACTGAACTGAGTGAACTTATGCAACCGAAAAGAATTCAGCGCGAAGAATTTCACTGGCAGTGCGCAGCACGTTTATTAATGGTCGCGCGCGCACGCAGATATGAATTAAACATGTTCGCGAAGTTATTTACTACAAAAAGGAGAACGAAGCAGCGCTGCAGCGGCGAGGAGACGCGATACGCACTCAGGTGAACGGGGCACACCTGGAGGAGGGGGTCTTCTGCTGGTGCGGCCCGCGAGTGGTCAACCGCAGGCGCGCAGCCAGTGTACGTCTCGTTGGCTGAGTGAAGAACACACCACACGGCTGTAGCGGCGCGCACTCGTGTTAATGACAACAATAAGAGTAAAACATATTAAAAAAGTGCTGTGCGAATTTCCAGCATCGCCATCAGACACTCACGGACGAAAATCGACGCGAGTATACACTACGAGCGCATGCATCGGCGGTGTCGGTGTGCTGTTGTGCTGATGAGTGAATTTCGTCGTTTCGTGCATCGCGTAACAACGCTCCGGCTTAACGACTGTGCGCTCACCTTACTTACTCATCGCACAATTCGATCCAAACGATTCCAGCTACGCGGCGAAGAGGAACAAGGAAGGAAAACCGCGCCGGAGCATGTAACGAGGCCCGCACACTACAAAACTGACTCTCGGCGTAGTGTTGTATTGTTTTAGTTAATTGCGCCACGCTATATTACCATTTTTACTGTTATCCGTGCGGTGCCGCCGCGTTTGCCATCTCGCATCGCAGCGCACCGAAAATCTGCGCGAGAAGAAAAACACTAAATACAGCCGTAAACAGCAGCCGGTGACTCCAACGCGCGCTGCGCCGCGAATAATAGTTAACCGCGTCGATGTGCACGTGCGACGCGCGACGCATCGATAAGTAACGTCATGCAAACGAGCTACAGTGCAATGTACAGGCCGAATTTCTACGAGAGCACGTGTCTGCGATGCCAGGAGACAGTCTATCAGGTGGACCGTGTTGGCCCGCTCAAAGATTTCACTTTCTACCACAGCGGTTGCTTCAAGTGTGCCATCTGTGGTACCAAACTCACCCTTAAAACCTACTACAATAACCAGCACAAGCAGGAAGACAAGGAAGTGTACTGCAGTAGCCACGTGCCGAAAATCGGTCCAGGTCATTTGGATGGGTCGTCTGTTGGTATTCGCTCGGCGCTGAATGTGCCCAAATCTAGTAACTTCGTCAATGAACAGATACGATGCACCGGAAGAGGGACCTTCGACGCAGATGGTAATTAATTAGATTCATTTTATCCGATATCCGTGATGGTATTGTTTAGTTGTTGTCCGTTTGGACAGGTGGCTATTGTTTATTGACACGTGGCTAATTCGCATTGTTTGCAGCGTTGAATATCCGAACACATGTGAATGGCAGCACAACGCAACCGTTGTCGCCGACTGGGCACGAACGAAACAACTACAGCCCTAATGTATACCCACAGAACAACCACAACGATTCTCCTGGCTACCAATATGGCCGTTTTGACGCTAGCGCTTTGCACATTGCACACGCGCTTAAACAAACCGAAATACAAAAGGCTTACAAGACGCACGTGGAGAAACCAATCGATTGTTACTTGGTAAGTTGGAAATCATTTACATAAAGGCGACACTTTCTATAATAACCACGCTGTTATTAATCGAGCTCCAGTCTATAAAAAGCGGTCCAAATGTTATGCATTCCAATTTGAATTCGACTTTTGAAGTTCACTTTCACAATTTCAAATATCTTATTAGAACTCAACAAGTGCGAAATTTTGCCGTGTTTTTTAATAATTTAAACAGGCGATTTGAATTTTTATTTGCTTGCTGCCTACTCACGTGTGAAATCACACACATGTGGCGCGTTGGCACTGAGTGTCGCGTCGGTTTTCTTCTCGAACGCAAGAAAAAAAAAAAGACTAAAAGTTAAGTCATGACTTAATCGTCGCCCGCTATGGAAGTCGATCCCTGATGACGTAACGCAAATCTCGAGATATTCGTACCGGCGAAGGTGCGTGTGCGTGCCGCGCGTTCTTTCCATTCCACGGCATTCCTTCTAATCCGCACAAACATCGCCGAAGAGATAAATAATCGAAGAAAATTAATAATGACTACCGAAAAGATAATAATGGCGTATTTTATGACGATACAGCGTCCTGAAATTAATTTTTTTTGTCATTGAGCTGGAATGTTGATTTTTAAATTTTAGTATTCTAGGGTTAATAACATAGGAACCCAGTAACCCATTATTTCTTCCGAAATGTGATTCTCACCCATTAGAGACATAAACGCGCGTGTGTTTTTATTTCGGGCTGGCGATGTCTTCGTTAGTGTCGTAGCACTCGTCGTTGCCGCGGCAAAAGGTTGTTTTTTACAAGTCAACACAATCACCGCAATAATAGAAACGTTCGCAATGAGCGCACGAACAACGCGAACGCGTAATGAACCCAGAACCCATAACCCAACATTGTTTCCGAAGCGTGCAACACAATTTTCCCGACGCACAAATGGAAAAAAAAATCACGTTCCATGCCACCTCGTCAGAAAAACGCTTGAATTCATAGCAGGAACGTGTGCGACGCGGGAAAACTGTGTCAAACGTTGACGAATGGACGATAATCGACGAATGTGCGAAATGGTTCGCTGCGAAATTTATAATTTGCACGTTTATCGGCCGCTGCACGCTTTGTTCAATTACGCCTAATTGTCGGCTGTGAAAATCGCGCACAGGAAGAAAACTAATACTTGTTCTAGGACGACCTCGATCGGAGATTGCATTTTTCAATTAGAATCGGCGTGTGGTTGTAAAGTTTCACTTCATTAAGTTGGATATGAAATTGGAAACCAAGAATATAAAATATTAATTGTAATTTGCGGATGTATTTAAAAATTTAGTTTAATTTTACTTTAGTAAAAGTCCGGAAATTTCACAACAAAGTGTTTATTGTTGATAAAACACAAGACTTTCAATATTTAAAGATTAGTATGGATTTTCTCGCAAGTAGAAACAATAAGTTTTAACAACTTTATAACACGTTAAAACATCTTTGCTTAAAGTGGCTTCTACAGATGCGTATTTTATTGTTTTGTTTTTCACGATTAACATTTGCTAACAATACCATTTTCCATTCGAGCATGTGACTGTGCACAATATTTTTTTATTACATTTCTAATGCATCTTAATGTTTCGGTTTGAAGAGCACAGAGCACAACGGAATGAAATAATTCCTCGCGCATTTTTTGCTTTCAAATTATTAATACGAATGTAAATATTTCATACACGGTAAACAAAGTCTGTTCTCCGTCGAGTGCGAAATTGCAAACCAAGAAAAAAAACTTTCTAATATTTTATCAATGCAAAAAAAAAGAAAACAACAAGAAACGATGAAAGTGTTATTTTCAAATTCTTGAAGACTCATAAACACTCGCATTAAAATGTTTCATACCGATTGAATTGCAATCGTAATTACACTTTTTCACTTTTTTCGTTAATTATTTCCAAACCTGGGCGTGAGTTCGTGAGTGTGTGTGTGGGTATTTTATCCAATTATAATAATTAAACGTCATTCATAACTATAGCTCAAGACTTGTTTTGCTGCAGTAGAAAAATAAGCTAAAGAACTTCTCTATCATTATCCCAAAGCAATTTATCGTAATTCAACTTTGCAAAAATGAAATCAAAGTAGTATTTGGAGACAAGTGCCTCGTATACGTTTCCTAATTGTTGCATTTGTTCTCGGCTGCGGCGAGTGAAAGTCGTCGATGATAATAATTGCAATCGGGCGTTTGTTCAACTGCCATATAGAGATTATTTGCTTTATCTTGCGAGAAAATCGCATTTCCAGGATCAATGATCCTTCATGTAACAGAGTCGATTTTCTCTCGATATTAATAACGCGTTCTTTTGTGCCGCGTTTCGCGCAATAGTTCGATAAACTTTTTAATTACTGCCGAAGCTCACGCGTTTATTAAACGGCGTGGTGCGCCTTTAATAAAGCCGCATTTCCATGCTTTGAAAATGATGGATTGTTTTCGATGCGCGCGGCAGTCCAGTCAGTCATGTTCTGATTCTCGCACGAAGTGATGGAAAATCATCGCGTTAAAGGGTGCTCAACCATTAACGGTTATTAAACTTATTTATTGCTATCTTATAGATTAGATTCAAATGAAATTTATGATTATCCCCGTGTAAACACCGGGCGGTACACCAAATTTAAATTGTGTTTAGTTGCTGTGTACTTTTAAACTTTCTTTGAAAGAATTTGGAGAGATTATTTACAAATTAATTTAGATTTTCTTTGAGTTTATTTATTCTTGTAGGTTTGGCATTTTTACGGCATTTTATCTTTACTGAATCAAATATCACAGACTTTACATATTTTATGAGGTGATAGGACATCAATAAATAATTATTTTAGTACCGTGCCATAAAATAATTGCAGTCGTCAAATGTTTTGAGAACAAACATTGTAAGTATGTTTGTGTGAACGTGTTAAAATAGAAAAGAACAAGCACCTAGTATTCCCATTCTGTAGAATTGAATAAAGCCAAAGCCGGCAAGTCGACCGAGTGCACCGCACGACTGCATGCTTGGCGTTCTGCATACTTAATAATTATGTAAAATAATCGACCTGAAGTGAGCTCGTCTCGAGAATAGTTAATATCTGAGACTGGTCTACATTTATTATGCATCGGGATTTTATATGCATCGTCAATGTAACTAGTGACTCATTTTTTTGCATCCAAGTAGTACAATAGTCTAGTATTTGATAAGGGGGTAATGTAGAGTTGTAGGTTATTAAAAAGCACCTATGTGTTATACTAGCTGCAACCAGTAGCTCTGTTTTCATTGATATCCTTAAATATGTGTCAAACTTCAATAATACGTCAAAAACTGAAAACATTTAAATATAATTAGCTTCAAAAATATTTAAAAATATTAGTATAATTATTATTAGGTAGGATTTATTTAATAACGTTATATAATCGTTATATACATAGATATAAACTTTTATATGTGGAATAAAAGATAATACATACTGTCATTTCATTCAGTTGAAGAAAGTTGTACCTAAATATCAAAAAATTAGTTTTTTAGTTCACTTATATAAATATTTCCAAATGTCGAATACATATTGATAGTAGGTATTGCTCTAGTTATGTCTCCTCTATTTATCATGTTTATTTGCAAAGCAAGAGCAATTAGTGAGCACCATTAATTACTGTACGTCTGAGATGAATGCACACTGAGATTTAGATCACCTAATGAATTTATTTATGTAAAACGTGGAGGAAAAGTTCTCATCTAATTGTAGTAATTTCTACATAATAACAATAATAATAACAAAAAAACGTTAAAAATTAGTGCAAGACAATACTTTTCTATATTTCATCAATAAAATCATACACAGTAATTACATATTCTCAACAAATAACACACAAAGTGTTTGTGAATACGTAAAACTGTTGAAAAAAATGTATAATTAATTTAAAAACTTGACGCAAATCAACTACAATTTCTTTACGAGCATAGCATTACTAATCCAGCAGTTGTAAGCCACTTTCGTTGAATTTCAAATCGTTTAATTAAATTTTAAAGCATCTGACGTACCTAAACAGTGCATATACACAAAAAAACTTTATATTTTATACACTCGACGCCTGAATAGATCCACTCGCATCGCTGCGCACAAACATCCACATCCACATCGACTTCTAGAGAAAGAAAACTTTCACGTGCATATATAGATAAGCACACAATTTAAGCAATCGAAATGCAAACGGTCGAGAAAACTCTACTGTGCGTGTAAAAACCGACAGCTATCATAAAGCAGACTGTATCTAACATCTTAGTAATCTCTGAGAAAAATAATTTCAACAAAAAATGTTATCCTCACGCTGCCTACATTCCTCTAGGCGTTTGAGCAATGCGTGTATTGTGTACGCGCAATAATTTATTGATTAACGCCTTCTGGTCGTAATTTTGAAATCTTCCCAGCCGATGGGGATAGGCAGGCGTTGTGTGTGTCCGTACGGTCTGCACGCCTCTTATGGTCCTTGACAATTCTGCAAGGCAAATGCGAAGGATGGCTGTAGAGTTCATATGCTCACTAGTATACAATAGTCAAATGTGCGAAAGTAATAGAATGCCACTAAATGATTAATATTTAATCGTACGCACTCCACACACGCCTTAGTGTTAATGAATTCTAATTTGTATTATTACGGAATCGTCGACATGGTAACATACTCGTAGAAGCAAACACTTTGGAAATTTACTGGTACTTTGGAACCAAAGTACCGTCTAGATCCATACCTGAATCAAAAAATCTTGAATGAACTAGAAGCAGAAATGTGTTCCAGTGTTTCAATCGTGTAGGTGAATTAGTGGCACCCACATTGGAACACAAGCTCAAGAATTGCGAGACTCCATTCACGCATTCGTTTCGGCGGAGAATTAAAACGGAATGCCCCCAGCGTGCGGCGAATTTGATTATGTCTCTGTGAATGACGATTGTTGCGCGCTGCGACGCTCGTAAACGCCGCGAAAGAGCCAAATCGTAATTGAATTACTACACATTTGCGGTGGCCAGATATAGAAATACTTGCGTCGCTTGCGTAAAAACATGGAAGTTGCGCAACTGTAACCGTAAGCATGCGCGCGCACACATTTCTCGCCGGTAGATACCTACTGGTTACACCGGGTTGTCATTATACCTACTTAAAGGATGCACATTTGTGCGAACCAGCGAGCACGTTTTATTGCACATTCGTTAATTATATTATAATTTAAGATACTTCCGGTTTGGCCTAACTGCCATGGCGGCGCATTGTAATGGTGGAAATCTTGCAGCTTGCATGACATGTTGGAATAACATTGCGTAAATTTATCAGGACGGCGTGTTGCTAAACACATTGTGTTTGTTTTTAAACAAAACTTTGAAATACTGTAACGAGTAACCTTAATTTTGTTGTTTTAATTAGTTTTAAAATATCTGTTTCTTATTTTTAAACAACTTTTATGAATGATCGAAAGATTCCATAATTTTTACAATAATGGCATTTAATCATGTTTTTTATATTTATAACTTGATTATTTTTTTTATCTTGTTTATTCCAATGATATAAACATTAATTCGAACTTAATTTTATTAAATTTATTATCCAGCCGCTGATATCGCTAGAATAGCCGTTATGCAAAACATGTGTCCTAATTAATTAGTAATTAGTTGTAATCGGTTTTTTTTTTGCAGGACCGTGATGAACAGCGCCGACTTGAAATGAAACATCGCAAAGAAGAGGACGACTTGTATCGAAAATTCAAACACAATCGGGATGAGGAGGAGAAAAAAATACGCGACGAAATTCGAGTGAGTTAATTTACGCTAATTTATGCACCAATTTCTTTTCGTACTTTTAACTGTTAATGAACGTGCACAAAACGCCGATCCAAATATCAAGCGGACTGTAACGCACGCCCGGTGCGTGTTCTATTGACTAACGCTGAAGAAAACGGCTTTTAACTCTACTAAACTGAGCAATATTATTAATTTGTCTATAAATGTTTGCACGCAGATATTTTTACGACAATCATAAATCATCTTATTAACTACATAATTAAAATTATAGTGTGTTACAAAAAAATAGTAAAACTAAGTTGATTAAACTTTAAAGTAACATAAGGTTATGATCCTAAATTTTGTAGTTATTTAAGTACACATATGAAATATAATGATCATATAATGATACACGATGTTTTAATTATAATAGGACGAATGGGAACGAGAATTGCAACGCTTAACGAATCGTTTCGAACGGGAAATGCAGCTGAAACGAAAACGCGACGATCAGAATGTGTTGACGTTGCGACACCAGCAGGAAAAGGACGCCTTGGAGAAGAACATGACGCTACGGCGCGACAAAAAGAAAGAGTCGCTCACGAGGAAGATGCTCGAGAACGAAAGGCAAGTTAAGAGAAATTGGCGCTGCAGCCGACTTCTATATCGATCAAACAAGGTGTACTTGTTTACTTCACATACTATGAGTCCGTAATGAGTCAACATAACATTTCTTCTATTTTTATCCAATGATATAATCACAGTGCTATTAACCATGTACTGGTTATGACTTCCTTGTTGATTTTTACTTGAAATACTTTATAACTAAAACATGTATTATTTCGACGAATCGCATTACAGAGCAGCAACAGCGGCGCTGGTCGAAAAGCAGAGTCATGAAATGATGGAATTGATCAACGAAAAACGCAGTGAATACATGATGGCCGAGTCGATATACATGGAGGATAACGTAGAGGAAGTGACACCTTATCCGAGCCATGCACCTCTCCCGGCACCGCCAGCATTATCCAAGTTTCAAATATACAGCGATCCCATCGAGTTTGCTAATGTTGATCAAATTGCTATCTCGGTACTAATATCAATTACAATTATAGGTGTTGTAGTTTAATTCTAATATGTCGTTTTAGGTGGCACAAGAAGACCAAAAATCATTTACTGATTTAGTTCGACAGTTGGTTGGTCGATGTGGATCGGATATCGAGAAAGCACGTACCATTTTCCGATGGATTACCGTGAAAAATCTAAATACAATGTCGTTTGACGAGAATCTGCGCGGCGATTCGCCTATGGGCTTGCTTCGAGGCATTAAAAACGGAACTGAAAGTTACCATGTGTTATTTAAGCGTTTGTGCAGGTTGGTGGTTGTCCTTGAATTCATGCTGGCTGTAGGAATATTGCTTGATGCGAGTTGTTTTTTTAGTTATGCCGGTTTACACTGCGTAGTCATTAAAGGATATTCAAAATCTGCTGGTTATCAACCAGGTGTACGCTTTGAAGACAATCGATTTAGGAACTCTTGGAATGCTGTTTACGTCGCTGGTGCTTGGCGTTTTGTGCAATGTAATTGGGGCGCTCGGCATTTAGTAAACGCCAAGGAAGCACCAAAAGCTGGCAATAAAACTAAATCAGATAGTTTGCGGTATGTTTATAAATTGCCAAACAATTTTTTATGGAATTTTTCTTAACTTCATGTTTGAGTTGTTATATTTTAGATATGAATATGACGACCACTATTTCTTAACTGATCCCAAAGAATTCATCTATGAATTCTTCCCATTGCAATCTGATTGGCAATTATTAAAGCAACCGATTACCTTGCAAGAGTTCGAAGAACTACCTTTTGTTAGATCCTTATTCTTCCGATATGGATTGTACTTCTCCGACAAGAACACCAAGGCTGTCATGTTTACAGACTCGACAGGCGCTGCTACTGTCCGAATTGCAATGCCAAATCATATGCAAGGAACTTTGATCTTCCATTACAATTTGAAATTTTATGATAGTGACGGTGATAGTTTTGAAGGCGTCTCACTGAAACGTTTTGTGATGCAAGTATGTACAATATCTAATTAATTAAATTAATTAATTATTAAAAACTATATTACACTTTTTGTCTATAGTCAGTTGTTGGAAATATGGTAGCATTCCGGGTTCACGCACCATGCAGCGGTGCTTTCCTCTTAGATATTTTTGCCAATGCCGTCACACCGAAAGAATACCTCACCGGGGAACCGATGAAATTCAAGAGTGTTTGTAAATTCAAAATCTGTTGCGACGAGTTGCAAACTGTCATGGTGCCCTTACCGGATTGTGCTAGCGGTGAATGGGGACCAACAAAAGCTACCAGACTTTTTGGACTTGTACCAATTACCCACCAGGTAAATTTAAATTTGTTCTTAACATTTTCATCATTATCTAATGTTTTTTTATATTCTAGGATGCGTTGGTTTTTGCTGGTAGAGAACTCGAAACTCAATTCCGCATGTCTCGCCCTTTAACAGACTTCATGGCAACTTTACACAAAAATGGCGTCGAAGAGAAGAGACTATCAAAGTATGTTAGTCATATCGTAACGGATGACATAGTTACTTTCAATATTAGCTTTCCTGAAGAGGGGCAATACGGGTTGGACGTCTACACGCGCGAAATGGCGTCCATGCATGACAATAATGGCGAAAAGCATTTACTAACACATTGTTGTAAGTACCTAATCAATTCATCAAAACGCAATTAATTCCACAAACATTCGTTTGCATACACTAAGAGAATACTACCGCTCGTCATCGATTAAAACGTGCAATAATTAATTATTTTTAATAGATATTTATAAACACAGTGCAAAATTGCAAATCTATTCATATACATACATATATTCACCGTTATTTGTATGAAATGTTTAAAGTATAAGAGTACATATATTAATTATGTATCTAGTTGCAATTTGTGCTTTGGAATTAAACATTGACAGGAAAACAAGACTGTACCCTTTTTCCTGGATACGAGAATCTTTAGATCATTAATTTTATTGTTATCTAACGTGAAGTTAAACAAAACGAAACTATTTATTTGTTGTTAAAAAATCATCACCGCACATAGATTTTTATACATACGTAATATATTAATATATTTTTGTTAATTATTTAATAATGTATTTTGTAACATTGTTCTAACCAGTTGTATGCTTTTTATATCAAAATATATTTTAAATAAATTATGCAAATTTAGAGTTATTTAAGACATGAAATGTGTCCAAGTTTAGGTCGCTCTCCCAGAGCGCCTGCGATGCTCTGCTTTATTATAAGATATGAACACATAAATAGAAGAAACAAACAAGATTTGATAAGAAAGCCGCGTGGCTCTCAGGTGTGCCGCACATGCTGCCATACCGTAGGTCGATGGTTCGATCCCCAGTTATAAAAGGCATTTTTCTCAAATATAAAAATAAATGGTGTAATCTGAGTTGCATATGTAAATTCAGTAAAATGCAATGCAATATAAATAAAAGATACTCAAAGAGAAGATGATGCAATACAATATAGAAATAAGACGAGAATGGAAGAGTAGAGAGGAGGAGAAGGTGAACAGAGAGTTAAGAAAGAAGTCACCAGAAGAGGAGAGGACAAAGAAAGTTGATAGTAGTAGGAAAGCCACCCCGAAAGAACACAGGAGTGGCTCGAATTTTTAAATTTTTTGGCGGCGTGTCGTTCTATAAGACAGTCAACCGGTCGATCTCCCAGAGCGCCTCCGGCGCTCTGGTCGATCGCCCACTGCTTCGATGCGTCCATTGCTTCCGGCCCATCCTACAGCTACGATGTCTCTACGCTTCATCCCCAGGATACTCAGGCATATCAACAATTTTTATGGTGGGGGATCATCCCCCCGAGTGGGAGAACTCCTTATAAAGACATTTTTTATGAGAACATGTAAAATATTTCTAAGTTTTAAGTCGTCTCAAGACAGGCGACACTTAAAAATATTTTTACAAGTTCTGACTTGTACCTGAAATGATAGAAGGGGTACACACAAATCATAGGAGGCACAGTCACTTTAAACATTTCTTTATTGAAACATGTATACAATGATAACTTGTAAAATATAATACTATTCAATATATACGCCGCCATTTTGAATCTAATTATAAGAGCAGTATAGCCCCGTACATGCAGACAAGTACCAAGGGTAAAAAGTAACAAAGAAAAATATATAAGACTAACAAATTTTGCATGATTTTCGCGGCAATAACGGAAAACTATTATACAGGGTGCTCCAAAAACAATATAATAACATTTTTAAAAAATGCAAAATACAAGTAGGAGAATATATGTATATCAAAAACCACAGTTAAAGTAAAATCAAAGGAAATTAATATACAGGGTGATGTAAAGAGAAAACGACAAAATTTTAAAGAAAAATCCGATGTTTAAGTGGGATGACATACATCTTTTCCCTTTTGACAAATTCACCACAGGAAATTAGTATACAGGTTACAAAAAACCCATTAAGAAAATTATAATACAGTGTGATACAAAAAGAAAACTACAATATTTAAAGGAAAATATTAAAAGTTTAAATGGGATAACATACATCTTTTCCCTTTTGACACTACGGGAAATTAATATACAGGGTGTTACAAAAAAGATTTAAGCAGGAAAACGGATGGAAACAATTAACAAGGCGACAATAACAAGATAATTTTATTTTAAATCATGTAAAACAACCTGCGATCAGCCCGGATAGCCGCCAGAGGATCAAGAACGCAGCCGACGGCATGCGACTATATTAATCTTTTTAATTTGTACATCAAACAAAAACAAAACAAGGTATCAAATATGTAATGCAAATCAACGGTATTGAAAGTGAGACAAAAATTATTTGTAGGCTTAAAGACCACGCAGTTAAGGTAAAAACAAGTAAAGGCAATAATGGATTTGATTTTCAAATGGCTTAAGAAATGCGAGAACATACCTTGATGCAAAATTACTTTTTGTGCTTTTGGCCTATCCAATAAATTGTAAGGACCTTAATTATGCACATTGCAGAAATTATGCAATACGCGTATAATACAAAAAGAGTATCCGACGGCCGAAGGAACATCACTAACGTATTACCTCTGCGTATAAACAATTCGCATTTAACGAACGCCGCACATCACTCGCGCACAATGGAAGGAGCATTTAGAAATATTACGTAATGACGCGAAGAAATTAAGGAACTCAAATTATTGTGAAGAAAATGTGTGTGCAGATAACCCTACGACAAATATGAGACTGACGTGGTAGGCAAGCCAACCGCGTGGCGAACCGTATGGCGACCGCACAAAAATTGCACGAGATAAGAAAACTTGTTTGTTTGAAAACACTGATACATTCAGTGTGGAAATGCAGAAAATGGAAAGAATTGTACTCGTACAATGCATGGACCTTTTAATTTAGATTAAATTATGAATCGGACACCAGTAACAAAATTATAGATTAAAGCCCTATTGGCATCTAAACACCCATTTTTTTTAAATATAATTGCAAATAGGCCTGAAACGTTCAATGTTAGGATAATAAATACTTAACAGTTCTTTTAATTCTACATCGAATATTTTCGTAACTTTTTTCCTAAGATTAACCGTTTAGGCCCTATTTGCAAATTTTTGTGAAAACTGCATTTGACATAAAAATGAGAAATCTTTTGTCTTTTTTTTGACGAAATATTTTATTTCAACAAATACAGATTCTGTAATAATTAGAATTTTTGAATTCTGTTTTTGGTTTTTGGGAGTATATTAAATCCTAAATCGGAAACAATGGTAGATTAAAGCCATTTTGGCATGTAAAAGTTATTTTTTTGTTAAAAAAGTAATTACTTAAATAATCAATTAAGAATTAAATTATCTTTCAAAATCCAAAAACAGAATTTAAAAATTCAATTTATTTCAAAAGCTTGCTGGAAATGCCGTCAAAGAACGCAACCGACGGCACATGACAATCTTAATCTGTTTTATTTGTACATTAAATGAAAACGAAACAATGTACAACCTGTATTGCAAATCAACGGTAGGTATTGAAACAGAGACAAAAATTATTTGTGTGGAAAGACAACGCGGTTGAAGTAAAAACAAGTTAAGTCAATAATGGATTTGATTTTATATGGCTGAAGAAATGCGAGAACATACCTTGATGCAAAATAAATTTTTGCGTATTTGGCATATCCAAAGAAAATATGAAATAAATATGAAATACGCGTATGATACAAAAAGAGTATCCGATGGCCGACGGAATATTACCCACGCTTTGCCTCTGCGTGTGTACAATCCGCGCTTAGCGAACGCCGCACATCACTCGCGCACAATGGATCATTTAGAAACAGTAGTAAACTAAGTAATAACGCGACAAAAAATTAAGGAAATTAAAATGTTGTAAAGAAAATGTGCGTCCAGATCACCTGACGACAAAAATGAGACTAACGTGGTACGCACGCCAACCGTATGGCGACCACACAAAAATTGCACATGATAAGAAAACTTGTTTGTTTGTAAACACTGATACTTTCAGTGTGGTAGTGCAGAACATGAGAAGAATTGTACTCGTACAATGCACGAAACTATTAATTTTTATTAAATTCTTAATCGGATTCTGATAGATAATTTAATTCAACATTGTTTATTTTAGTAACTAACATTAACCGTTTGGACCCTAATTACAATTTTAGAGAAAAATGCATTCGTTTTTCGTAAACCTTTCTTGACATAATCGCCCTGTTCTTCGATCGAAACATAATTTAATACAATAGTTTGACCCTGTTCATTGACCTAAAAAAATTTAAGTAAAAAAGTCCGATCCTGTTTTTCGTTCGAAAAAAATTAACACAAAAATTCGACCGAAAAAATTTTACGATAAGTAAAAAAGGTCGACCCTGTTTTACGACCAAAAAAATTCGACCGAAAAAAAATTAACAAAAAAATTCGACCGAAAAAAATTTATAAAAAAAAAGTTCGACCCTGTTTTTCGCCCGAAAAAATTTTAACAAAAAAATTCGACCTAAAAAAATGTAAGTAAAAAAGTTCGACCCTGTTTTTCCACCAAAAAATTTTATCAAAAAAATTCGACGGATAAAATTTTAACCAAATAATTCGACCGAAAAAATTTTATGAAAAAAAGTTCGACCCTGTTTTTCGACAGGAAAAAATTTTAACAAAAAAAATTCAACTGAAAAAATTTTAACAAAAAATTCGACCGAAAAAATGTAATGAAAAAAATTTCGACCGAAAAAGTTTTATAAAAAAAAGTTCGAACCTGTTTTTCGAACGAAAATATTTTAACAAAAAAATTCAACCGAAAAAAATTTTGAGATAAAAGTTCGACCCTGTTCTTCGACCGAAAAATATTCATTAAAAAAAGTTTGACCCTGTTATTCGACCAAAAAATGAAATAAAAAATAGCGATATTCGAATGGGATTTTAAGACACTTCCAAAAGGTTTATAGGGTTAAAAAAGAATGCATAGTGTAAAGGGTCTCTCGAACTTTAACATGACATTAAGAAACTTCAAGAAAATCAATTAGTTCACGTGATACAGGATGTTTTCCACACCATGTTTTAAAATTTTCCTAAAATAGCTCATTTTTGAAGAGCATTTTGGGGCACTTCCAAACGGGCTGGAAGGTATAAAGAGTATGCATTATGTAGACCAACTCCGTGACTCTCTTTTGGAGTGGAGAAACTAGAAGATAGTCAATTTGTTTACGATATACAGGGTGTTTTCCACACTATGTTTTCAATTTTTTCAAAAATAGCTCATTTTTTAAGGGCATTTTAGGGCACTTCCGAAAGAGCTGGAAGGTTGAAAAAGTATTCATCGTGTAGGCAAACTTCCTCACTCTATTCTAGCGTGGAGAAACTCTAAGAAAGCCAATTAGTTTCGGAGATACAGGGTGTTTTCCACCTCATCTTTTCTAATTTTCCTAAAAACGCTGACTTTTGAAGGGCATTTTATGGCACTTTCGGAAGGGCTAAATGGTTGAAAAGGTATTCATCGTGTAGAGGAACTCTTTAACTCTATTCTGGCGTGGAGAAACTCTAAGAAAGTCAGTTAGTTCACTAGATACAGGATGAATATAAAACGCTTACAAAATACATGTCGACATTTTAAAACAATGCTTGTCACCAGCATACTTCGAAATATGTAGACAAATACTAAAGGAATGACGGAAAACTATTATACAAGGTGTTTCAAAATGAAAATACTAACAATTTAAGAAAACATGCAAAGTGGGAAAACATATTTAAACCACTTTTCTCGGGACATCAGAAGAAAATAATGTGCAGGATGTCACAAAAAAAAAATAATAACATTTTCTGGGAAAATGCAAAGTTCAAGCAGGATAACATATAATTGGACTAGTTTTCACAAAATATCACAAAAAATTAATATACGGGGTGTTGCAGGTAGAAAATAATAACATTTTCAGAGCAAAATTCCAAATTCAAGTAGAAAACATATCTAAACTAGATAACACGGAAAATTAATATACAGCGTGTTGTAAAAAGAAAATGACAATATTTTAAAGAAAAATATTTTAAATTCAAATGGGATAACATATATCTTGCTCCTATTGACGTGGTAGGTATTTCAAACTTGTCACGGAAAATTAATATAAAGGGTATTACAACTGGAAAATCATATGTTAAAAAAGAAAAACATCCAAACACAAATAAATATGGTCAATTTTCAGCACTTGATAAGGAAAAAGGGCTGAAAACAATTGACAAGAAAAAGACAGTTTGCACGGGAAATGAAAGAAGGGTAATATAGTGATACAGCAAAAATCAGAACATTTAAGATGAAACTGTATTTCCTCTGGATATCAAGACAAAAATAAAACACAAAGCCGAATTTTATTTAAAATCATCTAAAACAACGGGCGACCGAGCCGGAAAACGCCGCACCCCCACGAGCATCGAGAACGCAGCCGACGGCATGCGACTATCTTAAATTGTAATTCGTATATCAAACAAAAGCGAAACAATGTTTCGAATAAGTTATGCTAATCAACGGTAGGTATTAAAATAGAGACAAAAATTATTTGCGTGCGTAAAGGCCACGCGGTTGAAGTGAAAACAAGTTGAATCTACAACGGATTTGCTAGTTTATATGGGTGAAGTACTGCGAGAACATACCTGGATGTAAAATTACTTTTTTTAATTTTTTAATTATGCACATTGTAGCAACGATGAAATATGCGTACAATACTAGAGTATCCGACGGCCGACGGAACATCACACGCTTTACTTCTCCGTATGTTCAATCTGCTTTTAACAAATACCAAACATAACTCACTCGAGCACAGTGGAACAGAACTTTTAGAAATAGTACGAAATTACGCGAAAGAAAATTAAAGAACTCAAATGATTCTGAAGAAAATGTACGTGCAGATCACCCAACGACAAAAATGAGACTAAAGTTGTTCGCAAACCAACCGCGTGGCGACCGCACTAAAATGGCACAAGATAAGAAAACTTGTTTGTAAACACTGATACTTTCAGTGTGGTTCTACCGATCATGAGAAGAATCGTACTCGTACTATGCATGAAACTTTTAATATCTAACAGACTGAAACGCTCGATCGTTCTCAGCGCGAACGCAGCAGGTTCAACACGATAAAAAGTTGTACATAAACCCCGATAAGCGTGAAGAGTAGAATACGAAACAATTCTGAAATGAACCCAAATAATATAGCAATAGCAATAATATATTCAGTTAACTAAAGATTTACGGAAATTTATTTTCCCAAAGCAATGCACAAAGTAAATGAGAAAATCGGTGCAAAGAAAGTTACAAGGATATACACCATTGAAAGGACACAAACGATTGCCAAGATAATACGTAATTCCTACAGCAAATACCTTATAATTACCTAGATTCAAGGAGTTTAAAAATACTGATTTTTAAATGGTATTTTGGGCACTTTATGACGATTTAGAGTGTTGAAAAGGTGGGTATAATATGAAGGGTAAAGTTACAATATGGCAGCGAGAAACTCAAACCATGTTAATTCGATTAAGTGATATAGGTGTTTTTTATACCAGGTTTCTAACTCTTGCAAAAAATTTGAGTGATCTTCATCATGTATACCATAAAGGGTCTCTTAAAATACCACATAACATTAAGAAACTCAAAATATGAAGATAAGTGCGTGTGATACACTGGATTTAACTAGAGTTCTTTAATCACAGATTTGGCCGTACGTTACTAAAGTGTTACTTTGCAAGCCATGATAAGGAAAATAAGTCGCTTTAAAAGTGGAAGTAGAAAAAATATATTTCCCGTCTAAACCTATCAATAGTTTGTTTTAATCTAAGATTTAATATTGCATCAAAAACAAAGAAGCACTTTGTCCAATATTCAACCTTATAATTTGCCAGTATCTAAAAGTAAATAATTACTAAAACTCTGCGTTTTGCAATCACTGAGAGCGCTGCTGTAACAACTGCTCGGCGCCCTTTGCTTACACTCAGCTGTGTCGATAATGGATGATAAAACACCTTCTACTTCATTGACTGCTGTTTTCAATTGACCATTATCCATACTGCCAAGTGATTCTAAATAGAACAAATCTGCATTAAGATATTTATATAACTAAACAGAAAAAAAGAATTACCATCCAAAGAAAAATTATTTGCTAATATTTGTTGTAATTTAGCAAGTGCATCGTCCAAATCTGTCTGCTCCGGTGTTGATTTATTAAATTCCTTCTCCAATTCATTTTGATATGCCACCCCATTGGAATGTCCACCAAGCCATGTACTAATATCTTTCATTGTGTACGTAGTTGAATAATCCAAATCGTCCTTCTTCATCATTGCGTGATTTGTGACATCTTCAGTACCATTTGCTGAATCTTCACTCAGAGGTTCTGTTACTTGATGAATAGGACTGAACAAATTGAGTCCTCGCAGATTACTGATCGATTTAGAATTGCGTACCATCGGTGTGCTTTGCACCTGATTCATGGTGACATAATGATTCACAGACTCCACAAAAGGAGCACTCGGTTCCACGATATTCTTTAATTTTTCATCCCTCGAGTGGCTCATTTGCTCTTGTAACATTTTCAATTTTTGCACTTGATTTGCCACATGCTGCCTGTGCTGTTCCACATATTGTTTTATATTAGCATCACTCTTGTGTGATGATGTGAGAACTGCATGCAATTGTCTAAACAAACAAACGTAATTAGTGAAATTCTTTTAAACAGTTCTTAAATACACCTACTTATTTTGAATTTCCAGCTGCCTTATAATAACTTGCAATTGTGACAAAGGACTGGACAAAGGTACAATGTTACAAGGTACCTCGTCGTCATTTGATTCCAATAACAATTCCTTGTACACACCATCCAATGGTTTATTGTCCAGTACTGTTATATCTTCGCGTAACGAATCGCTTACCCTGTACTTGCACTTTAACAGTTTAAACACACGATTTGTGAAGCACAGTCTGAAGTGCTTCGAATTCTAAAATAACAAGCAACAAAATAGCAAACAATGGCAATGCACATTTTCACGACTTTCACGTACCTCCTTACACTGCTCCTTCATCACGTGCGTCAACTTGTGTGAGTTGCTAATTCCGCCTGTGAGAAAACAGCGCTGACATTGCACATATTTGGTGCATTTCACGCATTTGTATTTCATGCCAATAATCGGATTCACTTTGCATACACAACACTTGGCTTTGTGTACAACCGACTCGGACAATTTGATGCGGTGCAAAATCGGCAGCCAGGAAAATATCTGTGGAACGTTTTCAAGCCACGAACAAAACGCGCTTTCGTCAATACCAACTAATCCTGGCGACTGAAATAAAGCAATAAGTTAGATTCCTTAGTGTCAAATTAATTAAAATTAAACACTTACATTATTGAAGCAATGTCCAATTGATGAATTGACCAAATGTTGGTCAAAACTTACGGTTTCATTTAAGTAATTAGTGATGGCGGATATTTTACTTAAAACCGTTTGTAGCCGTAGGCGCGTTACGCAATTATTGTGATCGCAACACAGGGTAAAAATGAAATGGTTTAGTTCCTTCATTGAGCACTGGCTTAATATCGCCAGTGTAAGTTTTGAAGGTAAAACTTCTACATTTCTTTCTCTATCACTAAAAAAATTTAAATTTAAGAAAAATTTCAATTTCCATTGTAATATTGTTACCAATCAAAAATATTGTAAATAAAATTCAGTGTTAATTCAGTAGCGGTATCCACATCAATATTCATGTGATTATGTTTGTTAGCAGCGAAGAAAATATCTGAAAGAACAGCTTCCAAGTCGCACGATTCAAGGCGGAGTGTGTTTTCGGTAGTGCCTAATTTATGTCGGTCGAAAACACCTTTTATAATAGACAATGGAACATCATTCACTAAAATAAATAATTTTGTGAACAAAAGTTATAAAAACAAATTAAAAATTAATTAAAACACTCATATTCCAAGGACTTACTATTTAAAGAATGTTGCAAAACTCTAAATTTATGCGCGATTCGGTAACTCGCAAATTTAATATAATTGCAGTCATCTAATTTTAACTTAACTTCAGCGTACTTTGGATGGTCCCATTGTTTCTTATCATTTTTACTACAAGAAATTAATTTACTACAGATTTGATTAAAGATCAAATTTAAGACTTACTTTATATAAAACGTAAATCCGTTTTCGTTTTCAATTTTCCTCCAAGTGGTTGTCATGATTTCCGTTGGTCACTTAGTTAACACGAACACTATTGTTATGCGCTCTAGTGGTTTCCAAACTGAGGGTGGTTGTTTTATGACCGTCTTGGCGTTAGCAACAGGTTTCGTGCGTCGTTTGCTACCCACTCCGCTTCCGCTGAGAACCTCTTTACAGGTGCATTTTATAACCTGTTGTATGCATCTAATGCAAACCGTTTACTACCGATTAGTTCACTGAACGACTAATAATCGCCGATGTGTTAACGGTTTTGCTATATTTAGAACGCGGCGAGATGAATTTCATTGATAACTTTAAATTTGAACAGCGCACACTTGTTTATTTATTACATGACTTAAGTATAGATCACTTCACGACCACTTGTAACCGTTTTTTCAGCGCTTGTGTACGCTTACTATCGGCTTGCAGTGCTTTGGTTTGTTTTCTTTCCTTCGGACGTTCGGGTATCTTCGACTCAAACCGTGGTAACTAAGCGGACGTGAAGAAAACAAACTTAAGTTAAGGCATGTAATGTATGCAACTTAAACTTCACTACACAAGTACGAAAAAGCCTACCATCGTGAATAAATTGGTATAATGCCGATGTTTAGCGTTTGAATGTCAAGTTCACAATACGTACCAAAATGGTTTTCAACGTACACGGTGCGTAAATACTTACAAACTTAGCGGAACTAATAACTTTCTTTGATTCCCCAAAAATGCGCGTACGCGCCCTGAATGCGTTCGGCAAATTATTCAAATTTTGTGTTACTATTTCATTCGTTCCGTGCGCGCGTTCAAAAAGTACTTTCAATGTCAAGAACGATTTCATGCATCGTAATGAGGACCGAATTTGATTCAGAATGAAAACAAAAAGAAATCGGAACTTTCAGCACCCGTTCGAAGAGTTCCGATTTCTTTTCGATTCGATTTGGAATCGGTGTGATTTTATCACACATAATATGTTAATAAACAGCGTGGACATAAAAAGAAATCACAAACCTACTTATTACAATTGCAAGTAATATTTACATAGATTTCAGCTCGTCAGGAACAAATGAAAATAAATTAATCGCAACGCATCATAAATCGGTTTCGGCAAACGGCACAATGCATCATTATAATTATTATTCCTAACAATATAGTATTGTGTTTTCAAAGTGTTCGTGATATCGTGATTAATCAATATTAAGATAACACGTTGTAATTAAATCCAATTAACACAGCATATATTAGTGTCAGTAATTATATTTTAGAGAGTGTCTTTGATTGGAATCAGATAATTTCTAATTGAGTCATAATCCAAATAGTCCTGGTAAAAATCTAGTAATTTTTCACAGTGCGCAAATAATTCCAACTAGATTCCATTTCTATGCTTCGTGTACGTATAATCAATTTGTGCATTCCCAGTTAAACCCATCACATGCAAGATGCCTCAATCGCATGAATTCGTGATTATTTGCGTTTGATCCGTTTGACTGATCAGTCAAGTTAGCAAGTGGACCGGTGGACTAGAAAGAAGTAATAAGTGCGCGCCACGCTTAATAACGGCCAGGTCCTACTTTCTTTCAATGCAACCATCGCCGCGCCTGCCGACCACAATAGAACCAGCGATGAACGGATGGCGAATCAACACTTGCCGCAGACACCTCTTCAAACGCATGTTCATCACTGAATCTGAATGACATGTGTAATTCTTACGATGCATGAATACCAAGCTTTGATCGATAAGTGCCCACTTGAATTTACATGACGCAAACCATGCGGACGAAGTGTTAAGAAGCAGATGAGAAATATTGTTACGAATATTACAATACAATAAATGACTTACATCTTATATCTTACGTCTAGAAGCGATGTTAACCGCTCAGTTTTGTTATTCAATGATGGTGGCAAAAAATAACCACTCTATGGAAATGATGTTCATAGTTACTGATTGAAATGCGGTTGGGTATTATATTATTATCAATATGAAGAACTATGGTTGTGTGGAGTAATAAAGTTGGTCAAGTGTATAATTTATGTGTTCATACAATGCACGCTAAGTCGAATACTAAATGCGTGTGGCACGGTAAAAAATATTATATTTGGCAATGTGTAATTTTGGCACGTTTTTTTGCTCCACTTTTTCAGTTAAAAATCACTCATTAAATTCCGATTAGTAATTAATGGACTTGTTAAATGTTTTTTAGATTTAATTACGAATTCATTTGCTACATTAATTTTTTCCAGTTTCTAAATTTAACTGTTTTGTTTCATTTCTTTAATGTTTTGTAGCCAATTGCTTAAAACAAACCAACAAAACTAAATTTTAAACATAACAAAAGTAATTATAACAATAATTAAAATTTTTAACATGAAAATTTCCGAAAAGTCAACAATTTATGGCAACTTTTACTTGCACCTAAGTGAAAGTTGGCATAACTCCCCAAAAATGAAGACATAAATCATTTATGAAAGATAAAAAGATGAAATCACGTCACATTACTTTTGTTTTTTATGCTGCATGCCACTACAATACTCAATTGTCTCGCAAAGTTTTGCCATTATGATAATAGAGTTGATAAATTGTTAGATTTTTAAAAGAAAATAATAACGCACTTCTCATTATTTTCATCACAATTATTCTAATTCGAGATGGCAGTGTATCATTCGCATCTTGATGAGAAAAATACCACAGCTACTGACAAATGCGAGTGGCACATAATAAATGTATAATTTTCATGTCCGGATTTCATTCCGGCTAATTCCGAAACGTTAACAAAGCAGTGATTATAAACGACAACACAGGAAGCAAAGAAATGAAGGCAGAACATTCGGAAGCAGAGTAAGCATGTCACTTGGAATTATAAAAACAAGGTAAAAGTTTAGCTGAAAAACTTTTACTTGCGCATTAAAATCACTCTAGTGTAGAAGCTTCTTCGATGTCATATGACCGATGACAAATGGATGTCGCGGTATACCAAATGTTGCATGAAGAAGGTTTAATTTCCAAGTTTCGTACTCTTTGATAAATTGTGCAGAACTTGACGGAATATAAAAAAAAATGAATTTCAAAATTCGTACTTTCTCTCAAGCAAAAGTTAATAATTGTGAATTCAAAATTATAAAAGAGTGTCAAAATAATTGTCAGTGAACAAAATAAATCAATTCAATAATTAATAATTAATTCATAATTTATAAAAATATAATTATTACTGACGTTAGAGTGTTTTAAAGAACGTAAAAATTATTTAAAAAGTATTTCAAAAAGAATTAGGTATAATTATATTTAAATTGTTATGATAAATTTACAACATCATTGGCTACAATAATGTCCAGAAGATTTTGATTAATTTACAGTAATTAAAAATAGAGCAACTTTTCTAGACTAAACACAAAAACATGTTTTTAGCAATAAACTTACTCAAACAAATGGATGACAAATCAAATACTGAATAAATAAAGCAACACTGTTTGCAAAATTAACGTTGCATGAGTAAACGTAAACGTCCCCCATTGTTTAATCCAGGCTTTGTTCGTCACCCAGTATACCTTCTCCATATGTCAAACATATATGACATTACGAAGAAGTTAATTTTTAATGACGGCAATTGCTCCACTTAGCACACGGCATGATAGCTAGGAATGCGCGGCCGCGTGTCCTGACCCGTCGTCGTCGCCGTCTTCGGCGCGCGGAAGACGACGCCGGGGCCCCACCATGTGGCGCGCGCTCGCCTGCAACGACAAGCCGGCGGAACGTGCTCGTCGCCGTCACTGTTGCAGATTCGCAGCCGCGAAGAAGCTCGCGCGTTCGCACAGTGCCATCGAGTTCTTTAACGAGTTCGTGCGCAACACCGTCCAGTTTAAATTATAAGTGTCTTGCGTTGACATCGTGTGCGCGTGCACAGTGCGAGATTATTCTGATCTGCATGGTTCGAAAAACAAATTTTTGTTAAATATCCAGAACGAGGATTTGTGGAATAACTTAACAAAGTGTTGAAATTACTTTATTTAAACACTGGTAAGTATAAACACTCCGTATATTAAATTTGTTTAAAATTTAACTCTTGACCAATTAACGCAGAGACAATCTTAAACACTCTTAATATGTGATAGATCATTAAAACTGTAAAATAACTTAATTAAAATTCAAAAACTATGATATTAAGTAAAGTTATTAGCGATGACAAGATGACATTCAAAATATATAATAAATTACAGTTTTTATGTACTTTCTTTCGTTGAACGTGGTTTTTTTTTCAACCAACCATCTGTCGTTTAAGTGTAATGAACATTAACACATTATGTGCGTATAATATTTAATAAGTAGAACTATTTTATAAATAACCACCGGAAATAAGTTTGATACTTTAAGCAAATCCCTAATCTCCTAATGTAAAATAACGTGAAATTGTAAATAAGCGTTGCGACCTTATTTTGCCTCTCAAAACATCGTTTTTGTAATACAAAAACCTATGATTACTAAATTATTGTTTATTACTGACATTCTTCTTATTAGTATTCAGAATGACCAAAAGAGTACAGAGGAAGTACCCAAATATAATAATTTTCTTTCTGCGTCGCGCGTAAAAGTGTGTTAGTGAAGTACTTCCGCGTCTGTACGATGTAAAACAATAAAATTGCACCTGTTGCTGCTACTTCATATTTTTTATTAGTGCAGTTTATTTATTATATTACATCCTTTCTTTCTAGTGTGCAATTTGTTGTTACGTTTTTAATTCGAGGCAAACCATCCAAAACAAACAGGATGCAAAAATTTTTAAGCGCAGTTTCTTTTTTCATCATTTCTTCAGTTTGTTGCTGGATTTTTTAAGTATAACGCGATAATTTTGATTTTAAATTAGTTTTGGAAATTAGTTTGACGGTTTGAGAACATCCTGTAGTTTCGAAATGGATTAACAGGATCACGAAGTGATTTTTGTAAATCAAGTCAGGCTTTTGCTTTACTTTCTACGGCTGGCGATTTCCATAAATTCATTTTGCCGTAAATAATTTATAAAATCGCCTTTGACTGGAATAAGAAAGCATGAAACTTGAAATTCAAGATGCGATTGTTTACATTTTTGTTTGGAAACTCAACGAGTTTAAGGAAAATTATAAATTCAAGAAATTAAAGTATAAAAGCATTTATCTCAGATTAAAATGATTAATTATATTGCCTACTTATATATTTGATACTACTTAATAAATGTTAATTTACAACAAATTAACACGATAATAGCAGTGAAAATATGAAAAATTCTTCATTCGAAAGTGTAATCAATTTAATATCTTGGGGTAAGCTCCGAGCATAAAGTGTTTAACTCCCGTGGGCCCAAGTTTAAATACTGAGACAGAAATAATATCAAAAATTTGGACAATATCCCTGGTTATACATATTGTTCGATGCTGCGCAGAAAGAGCAAAAAGAAACGATACTTTGTTTCATTTTTATTTAAATTTTACGTTAAAATAAATATAATATAAACTACGGATTACGTATTCTATAAAGAAAATAAATAATGGTTCGAATTTTTCTTAATCAATTATTTATTACTTATTAACTTTTGCCTGATGTTATTTTGATAAAACCTGTCGTCATACTCACAACAATCATCAATACAAAGAAAACGTATTATTTAGTCAAAGAGAAAATTATAACTCAAAAGAAAACCGCTGCTCCACAGAGACTTCCGTATGATTTAGAAACAACTATACGACGTTCTAATAAAACCAATAAAAGTCATTAGACATGATGCATGGGCATATAAATTCAGTTTTATGATCGTCAAGTTTTCCTCAGCAGTCTTCTCCTAAGACAGTAAAACAGTGTGAAGAGAGTTTCACTGCCTTTCCGTATTCATGCGGCCATTAAATTAAATAAAGCGGATATTGTTACAATTTGCCAAAGTTCTAAAAGCTTTCAAAATTACCACCATCTCCATATTCGTTTTAAATAATTCGTTTAAAAGGAAGCAATTGAACAAGAATTGGAGCACAGAATTAAATTTTCCGTAGTCGCGCGAAATTTCAACAGAACATTTTAAACGTTTCTGATTACAACACACTCGAATTAATTATTTTCGAAATGCTCAACGCCCACATTCTAATTAATAAGCATATCTAATAAGATAATAATTCGTAGCCACACGAAATTAATTATACCTACGTTGGTATGTATGAAACACCACGTGTTCTAATTATGATTCTTTCTAGCAGTCTCGATTTAAGTTACGATTAATTACATCCACATCGTTTGGATAATAGTTTATCTTGAGAACAATCAGTAAGCGCGGTAATGAGATAAAAAGTGCGTATTCTTGACGGAGTCTTGCGTAACCGACATTTTGCAGTGAATGCAACATGAAGTTGTTGCAGGAAAGCCAGTGCAGTGCGAAACGATAACGACGAGTTCAAGAAAAAGAAAAAAAAAACAACTTGTTATTAACTTATAAATCAAACTAAAGTACACGCATAATTTAACAGCTACCATGGTTGGTTAAATAATTTGTTTGATATTTAAATTGCGAATTTGTAATCAAAATTGTTGTTTAAAGAGCGATTCTTGAAAGTTTTCATTTTAATTGATTTCATATAACCTATTGCAAAACTTTATAAAAGTTGTATAAAATGTTAACAAGTTATTTTAATACGATATTAATCGAATTCACATCAAAAATTTTGAACTTTAAATACGGCTCTGCGATAGCAAACTAATTGCACGTTCGAAAAGTGATGAATAATGCAAAGAAGCGTTTCTATAACTCGGCGATGTTATTTAGTGGATCTAATGTTTTCAGCTCTATCCCTAATGGCAATCGGTGCGTGATGTTTGGTCACTGTAACGCCTTCTGACGTTTACGGCGTCTGTTCGCGCGCCGCTTCGCCGGTAGTCATTTGCTTCGTATACATAAACGGGCCTTCATTGTATGCGAGAGAAACTATCGGAGATGGGATATCGCTGATATGCATTGGCGATGATGATGACACAATCGTTGCATGTACATTGTATTTATACAGTGTAGTTATTGTTGCTTCAGCCTTGCTGAAATAATTAGACTTTACCTAACTCCAAATGCAAATTAATTTACTTTCAGTTTTTTTTTTTCGTTGTTTGGTCAAGCAAACAACTTTCCATTTATTGAAAATTTTAAATTGATCATACTTTTAAAGATGCGAAATGTCTTGCATATGTTCCTATTGAAGATGACATAGAAAGCGAATTTATTATAATAAAAGTAAAAAAGTCCATTAAATCCGGGATAATAACATTCAGCAGATGGCAATTAAACATCAGTAGTGCTGGATGAGCGAAAAAAATCATAAAGCGTACGCACTCAGACGTAAATTAAATCGTAGCAGCTGAGAGTGGCTTTTTGCATCGCTACGCAAACTCGTGGCGTAAAACTTCTACCGGAAGCACTATTTGAATAATAGCACGCGCGCGCATACGAGCTGCGCAATTGTCTCGAGAAAAATTGCATGATTTTCATTATTAACTTAATTGCGGGGCGTGTAATGCGAATAGAAAATCGTTTAATTGTCATCGATCGACAGACTTTAAATACTTTCACAACTTGTAATAATAATAACAATTTTCATTTTCGTTTTCCAGTAATTATCAATAGAAGTTGTGAAATCTCGCGCTGATGATTAATTTCATTTTCTTCTAAAGGAAAAGCATAAAAACTTTGGATACAAATGTGTGCTTTGTCCCAGTAGCCCAATTATGAGCTACACACGCAAAATGATGATAAATGAACGATTGAATGAAAAACTAAACAAAACGTTGATTAAATGACTTGTGAACGCAGATGTGGAATTGCGCATTTCTCTTGCAATCGTGTTCTGCTTTCCGGAGATACAATCATTTAAAGACTTGGCGATTATAAATAGCATGTGCGCGTGTCGCGTCGAAAAACAAGGATTCTTAATCATATAATTATTGGGTTGTTTATTTTGCAGCGAGCCGAAACAACGATGACGGAGCCGGTCAGGTGGAAGCTGCCATTGGCAGGTAAGATTTCTAATGCATCTTTAATTGTCTTTGTATGGCGTACATTAAACATTTCGACTAATTGTCAATTAGACGCGCATACAAATAAGAAAATACAAGCTAGATGAATAATTTGTGCATGTAAACAAAAATAATTGAATAAACTTGCGCCACTTTCATCTACTTTCAACCGTCCGTTCGAAAAGTGTTAATTTGATTCACGAACGCACGACGCATGCATTACTAATTGGTCTCTCACTTAAATACCTTTCTCGTCGCATTACAATAAGTAAGCGACAACATCGGACATCATCTGTTTTTCAATCGTAGGTAAATAAATTATAGAAAAAAGTTCATTTGTTTTCGTACGACAATGCGGCGGACGGAGTTAAATTATTTACCATAAAGTCGAATTAGAACGCTTACGCTCATTGAATTTGTTTGATTACTCTACTTTCACACTCAATACGCAACTAATTAATTATTTATTAACTTTGTAGCTCTGCTGCTACTGCACATGACGATAGCGGAAACGCAGTCAGTGAAAATGGTAAGTCGATACCTTTTAATTACACCGTGTTTAAGTGAATATTTAAATGTGTTAATGCATTCGAAAGGAATCGATGGCAGGAGCCGATGACGGATGGAGGCCAATCGTGGGATCGCAAAGAGATGGTCCGTACGATGAAATCACGCACTACAGAAATCCAGCTAGCAAAAAGGCGGATCCGATAAAAGCGGAAAAACAGACATCGCACGCCCCTAAAATGGAAACCGCAAAGAAACTCGTGCCCACCAGCAATATGCAAAACGTCGCAAGTAATCTCAGTCCAGGTAATTTAATAATTATGACGTTTGTGGAAACAGTTATTGCAGTACTTAATGAATTTACAGTTCCAAAGATGCCACCCCATAGTAAGCCAGTATATCTGTTGCCCTCGATTGGAATGCACACGCCACAATTAGGTCCGATGAGTAGTGCGATGCATCATCACCGTCCTATGAAATACAGTCATTTGATGAAAGTCCATCATCATGCTAAACCGCCGCGTGTGAAACCGTTAAGGCATCCAATTCCGTCCTACAGCCAACGAGATGAGGTATTCGTACCGGCACCTTCGAGCAATGTGGGTCCCTATACATTCTACAGTGCTTCCCAACCACCAATCAAATCCAGACCTCCATCACACATCGAGTTCGCAAATCATTTCCCTATCCCAAACTCAGAAGATGAATTATATCAACTTGTGCGTGCACCGGTGCATCAATATGTCATACCCAAAGCGCCAGTATCCAATGATGTGCATTATACATTCCAAAACCCGGATGAGTTCAATAGAAATGTCCCGCTCTCTCCCTACAAGTTTGAGTCGACAAAGGAAAAGAAGAAAGTGAAGGACGTGCCACGCCAGGAGGCCCTCGTTCAGAATGTGCATCCTTTCCATGTGTCCACTCCGCAACCAAGCAAACAAGTTGAAGTGCATGTGACCAAAGAAAAGTTGAAAGTGTTCCACAACGCGATTCCGTCCAACTATAATCCGTTAGATGATTATGACTACCGGCCGGTCAAATCGACCGTATCACAGAAACGCCCCGCGACTTATGAAGTCACCGAAGGCAAGTGGAATCAGGAAACACCTGTATTCCAGTATCATTATACAACGCCACCGAAGCAGCGCGTGCCGACTAGAGTCTTCACCGAAGAATCCAAACCTTTCCTACCCACTCCGATTAAACCGGAAAGTGTACCTCCTACTTTACCAACGGAAAGTGAAATCTCAACAATTTACAATCAAGTGAAAATCAATCGTCAAAATATACCGCCGAGTCGCTCGGAATTCAGTACCCCGACGCCAATTAATTTCTTCGATGTGAAAGAAGTTTCTACGCATTTTCCCATATTAGGCAAGTACAACATCTTTTAATCGCATTTCATGATGTGTTAATTATCTCCATGTTTGAATTACAGGTCCGCCTGAGTTCCAAACCATTGCATACCCGCCGTCAAGATATCAATTCAATGATGAAAAAGAAAATGAAATTACTACTAAGCAAATCGTTGAAAGACCAGTCGAACAACAACCACAACAAGAAGTTTATGAAACTACCACGCAATTTATCCCAACAGTTCGTCCACAACGCAATCGCCGACCTAATAGGAGAAGACGTCCTTCTTCAACAACTACGACTGAAACAGAAGTGGCTGAAATTGATACTGCAACTGAAACTTATGAGGCTCAGAAAACTGATGCAAGTGTAGAAGTAACAACGCAAAGACTTAGAATTCCATCAAGATATAGAGCGAGATCTACAACCACAACTACTGTACAACCGGAAGTTGAAATTACTACAATACGGCAAAGGCAGAGAAGACCGCGTCCAACTACTACAACTGAAGAACCGGAAGTTGAAGTACCAGATAATCATAAATCAGAATATGAAAGTCTAGAGGAAAAATTTGCGCGTTTGACAACGACAACAGAGAAGGATTTCCCAGCAAACTTTGAAAGTCATTTTACTGCCCCGTATAAAAGCGAAGTCCAAACTGAAGCATACGAAAAGTCCACAGAAGAAGTTCCGCACAGACCAAACAGATTATACACTAATCCACCAAATAGAGATGAGAAACCTGTGGAAGAAGAAGAAGAAGAAGAACCTGCAAGTGTTGAAGTTGTTAGTGATGAAGTAAAAGAAGATGAAAAAATCTTGGAAGATTATCGCGTGCAATATCACGAATCACAGAAACAACCAGAAGTGCTCAACCCAGAAATTACGATAAATACGCCAGAGAATGAACTGGACTTTACCACTAGACATACGTATTACACAACGAAACCGCGTGAAGAAATCACAACTACTACAGAAACATACACGACAACAACACCAACAACAACAACGTCTACCACCACAACTACTTCGACAACGGAGGCGCCAAAACGGGTAAGAGGCCGCCCCGTAAAGTACGAGCACAGCAATCGTCCTCGATTCAGCGTAAAGGAATACAAACAACGGTTAACCACATCGACCACGTCCACTGAAGCGCCAAAAGCGCAAAGCGACGTAATGCGGATACGCTTTCCGAATCGCTCGCGCCGACCTATTACGCCATCACCAACGACAACACCTGCGCCCGTCGATGACGACAGCGAGACGCCAAAGATGAAATTCCAGCCCAAAGATCCGCGCCATCCAAATCTGGACAACGTCACCGAGAAGCTCAAGTTCAACACGGTCAACACACGTATTCGACCATTCGGTAGGTTCAAGTCCACAACGGACGCGACCACCACCACATTGCGCGTATCCATTAAACCGAATATTTTCGGTAACTTGCGTCGGCCGACACCCATTTCACTCAAAACACGTATTCTTAACCGGCAACGGACAAACATGACAACGATCAAGCCCGATATGACTACGTTAGATAACAATCTAGACGATTCTAACGAAACCGACCAGACCGAAATAGTCGAGACGACCATTCCATATAGCGTGGAAGAAAGCGACTCTAGCTCTGAGTTTGGCGCTAAGAAGACAGAAGTCGAAGCGACGACCGCAATGACAACACAGTCCGATGTGCAACCGGTCCCGGAAGAGAAGCACGATGATTTCACACAAATTGTCTCCGATCTGACGTCGTCAGCAAAGAACGAGTATAACAAGCCCGGGCTGTTTAAGAACGTGCAACCTAACAGTAGAAAAGTACCGAGTTATTTCACGTTAGCGACGGATGATCCCATCCTGCCTATTGAGGCGTTCTTCCCGAATCTCAAAGACAAGCAATAACATGCAAGATATAAATTTATGAAACGAATTACTTTCGCGCTCGTTAGTCTGTAAATATATATATTGTAATGTACTGATAATTAGGTCGTATTTTATTTACAGTATCGGAGGACAATATTTATTTATTTATAGTTTAAGCCCGCGGACAATGAAAATAGTTACGTGTTTACTTGTATAAAATAATGTAATTTATTCCTAAGTAATAAATATATTTTTATTTTACCTTTATATCCATTTGGATGACATTAACGCTGCCTTCGCGGTACGGTGTAACTCTTTGGTTAAAGCAACTGAAGAAATAAAAACCAGTTTAAAATATAGTTTAAAACTAAATTATAAACGTACATATTTTGTGTTGTCCTTGCATGGGATAAAACATTGGTAATATCACAGGGCTTGAACAAATTAAAACATATGGACTGCTACTTTCACCACCTTCACCATATTTCTTTCGGTATGTTTCTTGGTCTAAGCAATCATCAACATTGACACAGCCAAGTAGACATTTTGTAGGATATTTCTTAGGGAACTCAATTGATGTATCTGAAATTAAATTAATCAGGATATTAATCGAGTTTTACATTAAACTATTAATTATTTACCATTATATAGCTCCCTGTACATTTCTTCACATGCTAAAATCTCTTCATCTTCAGGTTCTTTTGCAGCAGCAGCTATCCATAATCTTCCTCGGTGATCAGTTTTCCATGTACGACCTTCGTGTCTTTACGAAAATTTGTTACAAATTAAAAATATCTTTAAAAACAAATTTAATATTTACTTACATTTTAATACCAGCAACTAAAAGACTTGCCCACGGTTGATGCATGCTTAAACACATTCCCTGATCAATTGATTCTAATAATTCATCATTAGCAGTCACAAACTTCTTAGCAGAAACTTCAGTTATCTGTTTATCTTTATTGGCACCACTTTTCCCTTGATGTGTTAAACTACTATCTTCCATGAGTTGCACAATTTGCTTGATCAACTGACTCTTATCACCTTCGAACAAGTTCTTTGGAAAACGCTTATCGGTGTTATCCAGCAATTTATTCACACCTTTCAACAAGTGCTTCTTATTTGATACTTGTGTATCTTCAACGACCACAGTACGGCTAGCAAAATCCAACGCAAGTTTGAATTCTCTCTTAGACTTATGGAGATATTCATACTTTGATTGGAAACGTTTCTTATTTTCGGACTTTTCAGTCTCACTCGCCCACTTTGAATTTAAATCAAAGTAATCGTTTTGATCATCAAATACTCGATTCTGTACTGATCTACATATATAAATAATTAATTTAATATTTATATAAATAGTATTGTAAAAAATATATTTACCCCATTTGATCAACTTGTAACAATCGGTTACGATCTTCGACGGCGCGCTTCCACTCTTTGCTCATTTTCTGTTCCATCAAATGATTGTAGAGTTTACTTGAGTCTTTTGAGTTGGAGTTTAATAACTCCATTTCAGCTCTGGTGCAGACCATATGTTGACAGAAAAAGCATGGTCCAGAACCTTCTTGTTCACAAACAATTCTTCCACATTTTGTGCAATTGTTAACTAGTTCATGTTTTGTTGCTTGACATTCACATGGATGACGTCCTTAAAATAAGTAAAATAAGATAAAGACAATCTTCAATACTATAAAATATAAAAACTCTGGAATAAATAATTGCAATTTTCTTAAAAATGCATCACCTTCTTACCTTTTCTAATTCCTGACTTATTCTCATGATTGTAAAAGTTAGAAAATTTGGTTTTCTTTCCTTTGTTGTTGGATGAACCTGTTGCTTCTTGATTGTTTATAATTGCCTTCTGACTATTTTGACCATTGTTAGCATTCTGCTGTTTAGTTTTTTTGGGACTTGTACCAAACAGTTTGTTTCTCAATTGATCATATAACCTAACATGATCAGGATTACTGTGATCAACCATACTATTCATAAAATCTTGATAATCTTCTTCATGTGTAAATGTTAATATGTAACTATAGTAAAATTAAATAAAACCAAAATGAAATACATATTTGAATGAAGATGAGAACTTAAACTTACTCAACTATGTCATCAGCAACATCTTGATTAATGATTGGTTTAAGACACTGCTTGATGAACTTAATTTTCTCACTTTGTGAAGACATTTTTATTTAATGAAGAGATATTAAAAGTTTATTGCAATAAATTACACAACTTCCAGCTACTACAACTAGTACTCGAAAATTAAATCGTACAGGTTATTACACATCACATATGTGCCGATTTCATATGCCCGTGTGTTGTAGGGAAGCGGAAGATGATATTTGGGTTGCATATGTTGACCTTAAAATAAATTGTAAATATAATTCAACTAAATTTGCACCTTAACAATCTAAGAACTGGATTATTAACACATCGCTTTTGTAAACACTAATCAAATATACCTAAAGAGTCATAGTATGGCATCAGTTGTTTAACTGACTGACTGTACGCTTCACTGGAATAAACAAATTCCCGGAAGTTATCAGGATCATCATCGTTTTTGCTTAAACTTTCAAAACTAGCATTTTTATGAGGTGGTGCTTTCACTAACGGTGTAACAGCAGCAAGTGACATAACACCGTAAAAAGCTCTCTTCTCAAAATCTTTTGCAACTCTTTTCTGCTCGGGATATCTTTCAACGGATGCCCAAACCTGACAAGATTACATACCAATTGACTATAATAATAATCAAGCACAACATCCAGTTTGTCACGGACATCGCTCATCAAACTGGTGGCATAAAAATAGTGCAAATCCAATGCTGGACTTGTAAATTTAACAAGTTGAAAATCGATCAATTTAGTATTCAACAGATTGCCATCGCTATCATGAAGGAATAGCATGTTATTACACCACATATCGCCATGATTTAGGACGCTAAATCCATCCGGATTTCTCTCAGATGCTTTGAGAGTTCGTTTAAGCGCTTCATCGATGCCTAACGTCTCCAACTTTTCGCCGTACTTGGCGCATGCCGTCATCGATTTGCAAGCCTTGCACAGCGATTTCAAACTGTCGGACATCCATTGCGTAGAAACCTTGCTGTCGCTGAATAGTCCTTTGGTGAAACTGGCGACTTTGTTATATCGGCGTGCCAAGACCACACTTCCGGCATGAAGTTCCGCTAAAGTTTTGAGCACGCCAATCGTGTGTTTCATATCGAAACCGATCGTGCGGTCCAACATTCCGTATCCCTTTGGTTGCAAATCTTCCAAAACTAATGTGAAGTCCGGTACATCAGTGGCCAAATAACATTTACTGCTTAGAGATAAGTTTAAATGCTTTTTAATTTTGGAAAAATATCAGAAAACATAATGATTTCGGTTTTGAAAAAGTCCAATTCCAATGTCCAATCTTCTACTACAGATCCCCGGACTTGGGTTTTTAAAATAACAGGAATTATTGTTTCTTTTGCACTGTAAATTAAAACAAGTAGACATAAACTAATTAATACACCATATTTATTTATACTTACTTTTCCTCAAATTTGCATTTCAAATAAATTCGTTTAATATTACTGGTGTAACTATCGCCAACAGAAACCACAGGCTTTTCTTTGTAGTCCAATAAAATAGGAACAGAACGTTCCAAAAATATAGAATTCAAAACTTTTTCGAAAAATATTTTGTCAGGCATTTTGCTCTTATCGTTTTGTTGTATTTGGTTCAACTGTTGATTTGTTTATAATTTTTTCCTTTACTGCGAGTACGATATTTAAATAAAACTGGACCTTCGTGTTGTTAGATTGACAAGGCGAAATTGCTGTTTACACAAATTGAGGAGTAAATAAGTTTACACGTGCATAGGTACACGTTTGACGTTTTGCTAATTACTATCATTTTTAAATCACACAAGTACCATTCCAATTAAAGTAATATGCAATTAATTTATTTTCAAGTCAAGTAGGTAGTAGATATGTCTGAATGCAATTTTGATGTGTGAAGGTTTTAGTCTCTTTTGTGATTGATGCCAAGTACAAAAAAAGCCATAAACTAGGAAAAACCAAGCTATTAATAAAATAAAACGATTATACGAATAATTACCACTTATACATATTTCATCGTTGATGATTTAATTGTTAATCCAAGCAAACACGACGTTTAGTTTTGGATCTTCTATTGCAATTTCTTGCATCCGTAGGACCCATTAAAGTTGCGGCGTAAATTACAGATATAAGTAGGAGCAGTTTTATAATTTTAGCGAAGTACATTATGGTTTATGATATTTACACTGGCAATCGTGTAGCTAAACTAAAGAAACATTAAATCATTCAAAAATATTTATAATGTCATAAAATTCAAAAGGCAAATAATTACGGTTTACCTTGTTTTTCATGATTTGCAATTCTTTAAAATATATATTTCTCGCTAATTATATCTATGTTTAATTAGTAATTTGTTGAATTCTCGGATATTGGGTAGATATGCTGTATGGTAGATAATAATAGTCGGCTAAATCGGTAAACAATGATTTGTGGAAATATTTTTTGAACTAAATATGTATTTGTAATGAAATTAAAAAACGGAATGACAAATTCTTATAATTTTAAACAAAACAGTCTCACTTTTAATTTTTTCAAATAAAGTTGTAAAAACGGTTCATTTGTTTGATTCAAAAATGCAACTCATTTTATAGCAACGTACAAGGTACATTTACCTGAGTTCAATTAATATAAATAAATGAAATAATGCATTTTTAATCCTTCAATTTATTTCATATTCTTTCCAATACATAAGTAGAAATAACGCATACAAAATAATTTAGTAGAAAAATATAAAATTCATTACATATTATGGCAATATCAGCAATATGGGAAGTATTGCTTATCTGCAGTTAATTACCGTATCAGTAACGATATCCGGCTCTGCGTGAACCAATGTATTCAGTGTCGCCTTTTAAATAATCTCCATAATCAATACTGTTCCCTTCAAATTCATTCTCTTCTTCTGGCCATGACTTCTTCGCCGGTTCGTCATTATTTACTGCTAAATCGTCCAGAAATTTAACCCAATCATCGGATGCCTCATCGAAATAAATTCTTTCGTCAGATTGGGGCTCATCGCTCATAAAATCGTTGTAGTTTAACTGAAATTATAATTAATATTAAAATTAATTGATTTATAATTAAATAAACTCATATAGATACATACTGAAACATCGGAAGTGCAAAATCTTTTCGTGCAAGTATATCTCCTTCCATCAACACTACAATAACAGGTATTGCAGTCGATCTTGAATCTCGAAAGTGGCGCACAAACAGTAGCCGCTAAAAATAAATCCAATTTGTTTTTGAAACCGCATTTTGATCCAAACGTTTAAATAATCAACTTACCAGCAGTATTAGTCTGTGCGGACATCAAACTCAGCATCACTTGGAGGCAAAACCACGAGAATACAATATTTCGAACACAAAACATCGTGTTGCTTTGGAAAATCGCTCTGATTAGAAATTATTCACAACTAACACGTACTGAATCGCGATTAGAACTACACGGAACTGAATAGATTGGAAAAGTACACACGAGTCAACAGGAAAGCGTAAACCACAAATGCTGTTGAACGAAAAACCAGTGCTGTTATCTGATTGTGTTAAATGTGAGAGGATTTGGTGAGCGAAACCGCACAGGAACTGACGATGAATGCGTTAATAATTCGAGTGCAAAACGCACTCGCACTTTGTGGTGCACTGTTTTTTTTACCGTCGCTAAAAATAATGCGTTTAAAATTAGTTTCAATGCGGTATTTAACAATGAAAATGCATTCCAAGTATAGGAGTGTATTTATATTTTACCCTCGGGATTATATGCGGTTAATGGCTTTATTATTCTCTTTGTTCTCGGCGTTTTCATCCAAAAATTCGGATTGTCATGCATTTAAATGACCGATTCACGCTTATTCCATGCTAATATAATACAAATCTTTGTTCTTTGGGTTGCCTACGTTGGCATGCCATAATTTAATTTCAATTGAGAAAATTATATTGAAAAAATTCTGTTAATTAAATGTTCTACTTCAAAAAAAGAAGAACAGATATAAAAGAAGAACACTTACCTTCATTAGTACACTATCTGTTATTTTATTATTTATTATCCATTTAATTTTTATAAAAAAAGATCTAAAGACTCAGTGAGATGAAAAAAACAACTGTTTTTTATATTGATGTATTGTTTTTATACAATTAATTTAAATTACATATATACAGAGTGTTTGTTATACCATGGGATCAAATGTTTTTGTATGATTCGCAATTTCATCGTTTATTACATGATTTATAATAATTTCATCTAAATATTTAATGCAGTTGCGCTCAACACAACATTACAATAACAAAATTCTCATATTAAAGCCAATAAACCGTTCCGTTACATATTCATAATATGGTAATAAATGATAATGTCGAATGATTATATCACACAGTGGATTTCCAGGGGGGAAATATTTATATTGATCATTTAAATAATTCAATTAATGGCGGAGTCTTCCCACGCACGCCGGACCAGTGTCTCGTTCACGATAAATTTGGTTCTGAATTCGCGATCGAACGGTTGGTCACGTTGCGTTCTGAATAATTAATTAATTAGTGATTGGCATCCAATGAATGCAGGCTATAACAAGAACGATTAAATTATACCCTCAGCAAACTTACTGAAAATGGTCCTATTATCATTTATAACAACCTAACAATTCAAAACCTATAGAAAAATACTTCGATTTGTCCAACATTAATGCTCGTCATGATTTTTCGGTTGATATTTCCAAGCACGAAATCACCAACACAACTGAAAATAAAACTAGGTGTGTTTCTTTGCTTTGATGCTTGGCAACGTTTGATTTTTATAATTTTATTCGTATAAAATGCAGGTTGTATTGTCGGCGTTTTCGACATTACAGTTTTGAGAAATGATGCAATCAGGTGTGGTTGCAATAATGTTGTATCAAAAAAGAGTGATTTATTTATTATTCCTAGATTAAAATATAAAGTTGAAATTGTGAATTTCGCTGATATTGCAACAGTTTGAACGCGATTTTAAAATATAACAAACAAATCACCCTCGGCAATAAAGATTGAAACACCATTCGATACGATATCGCTGGGTTGAATGCGCCAACATGTTGGATGATCGCGGGCTTTGTCGCGACACGCAACAAATCCCCATACGAGTTCGTAAACTTTCCGGATTGGCGACAGCGGCGGCGGTTGCGACACACCAGGATTTGGGGGATGGTGGCAGACGAGCGCATTTTTGTATATCACGTGTAAAAATCCGCCTCATACGTTTGCGTTTCGATGGCGCGATCGATGTCGACGATGGACGTCTCTCGGTCGTCCAGGCTTTTCGAAAGGGTCCTGAGGAACTGCCGAGGATGCCGCCGTTTGTACGGCTCCCACTCGGCGTTCGGCAAATGTCAGTGTGTGACGATGACATCCGGCGCCGACTTGGTGGTCTGCACGCTGTACGGTCGCCGCTTGTCGTCGTCCACCTTCTCCATCTCGATCTTAGCCTCGGCACGGAACTTCGGTTCCTTTTTGTACCCGAAAGTACTGAAAGGCGCCGGCGGGCTAGGTTTAGAATGCGTCGAATTAATGCTATGGTTAGGCGTGCTCTGGTCCGACGCGTACGCTGTTCCCGTGAAGAGACTCTCGCGCGTCTGGCAGGCGCTGTCGCACATCTCCGGCTGCTGCGTAGCTTCGTCGTCGAAAGACGAACCGTGATGGTGCAGCGAATGATGGTTGCTGTACGCGTCGCCGTTCGTCGAGTGCTCGCTTCTGATCAGGATCGGCAGCAGCTCACCGCCAGGTACGTAGCAGGGCGTCGCGTTCGTCAGCGCGTTCGTGCTGAATCTGTGGGATTCCGACGAGTGCGTGCTGTTCGAACGTGACCTGCCGACTTTCCCCTTTGACGACTTTTCGAACTGCTCCTGTTTGCCCAAGTCGTTCAGCTGCTGCTCGCGGCTCTCCCTTATGTAATTCTGCAACAAACACGAATACCCCTTGGAGTTAATCGCTTCATCATGCCGCCAAGTTTATAAGTTTCGCCCAAAAACAAACTAAACTGGCACAAGGCGCTAAATTGCGAATAACGGAAAGCTGGCAACTTTCAAGAAACGCGCAAACTGCTTTAAATGTATGACGACCAGCCCAAAACATTGTCCTAAACATCCTCCACTCAAATTGAACCAATCTACACATTTTTACGCCATAAAACACACATTTCGCCATTGATTTGATAAAATATAGGATACACGATAATAAAGTGTAGTATATTTTTTATCTGTTCCATTCCTAATAAAATTTCCATGTCGAAAAATATGTAGCGGAACACACACGCAGTGTTTTTAAATTGAAACAAATAAAAAATGACAAATTGTCAATAAATCACCAAACATTATAGACCGAATTTTTATGACCGCGGTTGTGGCACGTTGCAGCGAGTTCGAGAGTAATTCATATCCGCCTGCGCTCATTTTTTCGGCGCATTGTGACAGAAAATTAGTTTCGAGCATCGCGGTGATGTATTGCGATCTGCCCATTCAGTGTTTTAATAACATTACCTGTATTGTTCGATGGTCCCTGATGAGTTTTTTAACACAATTGAACAGAAATGTGAAGCACATTCCGGATAAAATGAGCGAGAATATCACCATGATGATGATAATGTGATTCTCGCTAAATGGCATCTTCTTGTTGCTCTGGAAATTTGAAAACAAAAAACGAACATTACATTAGTTCAATAGTACAACAGTTGCAATGCAGTTGAGTTATTGTTATATCAAAGTAAAGAAAAACGGTGCGTTATTATTTTTCCGACGAGAGAGAGACTTTTGGTTGAAAACTTGAAGACGTAAATGTAATTTCTGCGCGCGAAGGGTTTTTAATAGACGTCGTCTTGTCGGAGTGTCGCATGAAAGCGAAATTAGTCCGACTGTGCAGCACCTTTGATGCCATGCACTTGTTTCCGTTTAGTGTCGTCGCGCTTTGTGCGCAAAGGGGTAAACATGTAAAACGTCTCTCGCCGTAAAAATAAAACGACCACTATTGGCCGACGGCGGCTTTGGGGAACAAACTACTTCAGCAAAAACTGTTCACAACACCCTTCGGCACCACGGCCTGCATATTGCTGCACATTCAGGCTGGAAGGCGCACCAAAACGACAAAAATGAAACGGACGGCTGTTATAAAAAATAAAGCCAAATGGCCATTCGCGAACATGCAACATGAAACGCTACGATGTTGGGACGCAGTTAGCGCTTACATCGTGGTGAGCTTGTATTTTTTGTCGCTTCTTCTACAATTCTGTACCACTGCCTGTTTTACTAAACACACAACAAAAAATCATGTTAAGCTAAATAATTTGCACGTTAACTACAAACATACTAAAAATGAAAACTTTTTAGCTTATAGGTAGGTAGGTAATATATTCTGAAGTGTTTAATATGAGAAAAAAATGTTTAAAAAATTTGTATGTTTAACTGTATACAAGCAGTGTAATACAAAATACCATCCAGCCTGAAAGTCAACAAGAACCATAGTTTCTGGTAAAATTAGCCATTTTCACGACCTGCGAATTCACATTTTCGCTGTGAAAATTTCATTAATGAATAAAACGTGAATTATGCGGTTGTCCAACAAGAAAGTAAAAACCGCATACAACTAATCTTGTTGTATTGTAATGTTAATCAATTTCTACCAACAAAAACAATTAAAACGAAATGATTTTTCCTTTTTTTTATAATTCTCAGCCACCCTTACCATCAATCCCACCTAGAATAAATTCCACAGAAATTAACACAACAACATAAAACATAAATGTGAATAGTGTAGTGATATTGATATAGAATGTTATTTAAAGGTATTAACCTAAGCTGAAATCAATAGATATACTCGTAATCCAATAAAAGTGCAAAACGTTCGCGCATAAAATAAAAGCTAAAATTTTAATAATTGTTTAAACTATAACCCGATTATACCTGCATTGAATGGAATTGACGCTGAAAATTGCAATCTTGTTATAAATATATTCACCGATTTAAATTGAAAAATTGAAATTGAGCAATTTGTACATTTTGCCAAAGTTTGTTTGTTTGCTTGCTTGCAGACTCGAAGCCGTCACAGTCGATGGCTTTTAAATTATAGTTTCAACAAAGTTACGCCAAAACAACTTAACCGGATCGCAGAATGATGAGAAGTTTGGATTTGTGTGAAATTCCGGTTCGCAACTTTGGGTCGAGATAAAACAATACATCCAAAATATCGCGGAGTGAGCTAAGTACAAAGCCGACGATGAAAATTTAAACATTTTACATAGTGTGTGATACTTTGTGCATAATGAATGATGATTAGAAACGCAATAGGATGTGTATAATGATCACGTTCGCCGCATATGTTTTAACAGAAGCTCGCGTATAGCCATTTTAGTCTAAGTACCTTCTACGCGGAGCCTTAAGTAATGAAACCTTTCATATTATACGATATTCGTTCGTTACATTATAATACCCCGGTCGTTGCGGCGCCACGGTCGGAATTGCACAATATGCAAAGAATAATTTCAACTTAGACAATCCGATTTTGACTGAATATTATACTTGGACGATCGCGGCATTATGTGAAAGACTTTTATGACGATGGCGCTAAATTTTCGTCTAGGCGCAATAACATTAAAAACTTTTTGCGCCATCAAACGATCGCGTCGGTTAGATATTTCGAAATTTTCACGAGCGTGCGAAATTACCGCCGCCGCGCGCACAAAGGGCGTCAAAGTGCTGTGCGCGACCGGCACACGCACATAATTCTGTGATGCAATTACATACTCACGCAAAGTTTTGCACTTCTAATGCGTTTAGGTGAAAGGGGTGCAGAGGAGAGGAATGAGGGGCGACCAATTTCGCGGAGCGATAGCAAAAGTTATTTATGAGTTCGTCGAGGGTGGTTCTCTATAGGTGCTTGTATCGCTTGTTCGAAAGAGTTGTACTGGAGTGTGTTGTGGATGATGATGTAGTTGTACTTACATCACAGTCGTCTTCGTCCCAACGAAATCTACAATTGAAGCGGCCGTTACACTTGAGATCGATCGAAATGCAGGTGGCATCTTCGCAATTGAATTCGTCGGCAGCGCATTCGGAATCTGAATATTGTAAACAGTATTTTAGCAGTTTCCCTACTTTAAAATGTCTCAAAATCAAATTTTCGAACATTTTTAGTTAAAAAGGATGAAAAATGATAATAATTATTTTTTATTAAAGTTGATATTTATTTTGTGAAATATTTTTCATTATATCTGTTTGTTTTTCTTAGAAGTCAGACAATGAAACAGCTTCAGGGTGAAAAACTTATTAATTTCCGTTGTGAATCGTTCGGTAGCGTTCGGTGTATTTATGTGCCTCGCACGGTTTGTTCGCAGCGTTCGCCTCTTTGAAAATTGCCTCTTCTGGGATAGATAACAAGTCGTGCGGCAAGACAAGGCCAGAATTGGCACCCGGCGCAACCAGTAACAGCCGCTTTTATGGCGTTTAACTGCCGCCGCCTCCACGTACGTGATCCACGCGATTAAGATCTATCTTCGAAACCTATAAACACCGTGCGTAACTTTCGACTCGTAATAAAACTAATTTCCAAGTCATCTTGTAATTATTACCGTCCCAGCAGACGCGTTTGTAATTTTTCTCTTTGCAAAATAATCAAATTTATTTTTTTTTGGAATTTTTTAACTCAATTTGGACATGTGAGCATGTGCACATCGTCTTTTTATCTGTTATCATCTGAAAGCATCTATCCACACCCCATCTGCATGGCATTCGTTCTCATGAGCTGTTTCGCCGACTGACTTCTTTTTTGCGCCGGAAATGAAAATGGAACGTACGCGTGTATTTTATGTCAATGGAAATTCAATATGTGCGCGATGTAAGTCGATGCATGAGCGTAAATAAAACAGGACGCGCAGAAGGATGTGCGAGTGCAAAAACTCACTTGACTTTTCGTCCCTAAAAGCAGTGAAAATGGCTTCGAACGTCGATTTGCTCGCGCGCGGCTCGGCGAAGAACCGTATAAACATAACGTCATTCTTCGACGTCACCGTGTCGGCGATGGAACCGCAGAAGTTCTTGTCGCGCGACGGTATGTCGGTGCGATCCGAGAACACATCGACGAAATTGCTCTCGCAGTCGTTGGGCTTCGCCAGCACGAACGTCTTGAAAGACAATTGTATCTGCAAACGAGAAACAAACCAGACGATAAGTAAATCTACTAACACGTGCTGACGTGCGTGCGTTTGTTTGCTTACAAACAACACAACCAACAAGAAGGAAAGCAAAAAAAAAACGGATTTAAGTTATTTAGCACAAAAGGAAATTGGAAATTCGTTGCCAGCTACGTCCTACTACTACATAAAGATGCATTTGGCAAAGCGAGAAACTTTCACTATGTATACACTTTCCATTTCCTTTGGTAACAATGGTGCGAGCGCGTGCGTACCGAAGACAAAAACTTTCCATCTGCAATAATAATAGCGTATAGAAAACGAGAATGGGCGAAGACCTATAAATATCAGTGGTGCAGCGTGCTCTACGCTCCATTCTCGTATCTTTTTTTTTCGCATAAGCCCTATTTAAGTACAAGAAAAACTCATATAAAGTGCTATAATGTTGAAATGATTCTTTGTTCGAGATGAGATTTATCAGGAGCACAAATAGAGTTGCTAGGAGCGTGGCCGTGGCGAGAAATGAACCGCAAGACTACCACTTTTCTACAAAGTGTTCCTATAACCAGTTGACCAGTTGATACGCCGAGGGCGGATATAATTTACTTTTATTACAGGAAAAAAGTGATGACCGAGTGAAACCTTAAATTAACCCAATCTAGTGGCAAAATTGTGATTTATAAAAGTCGCGTGATAATGAAAAATCATATCACTTCATATTATTATACTGCATATTCTTTAATAAAAGAATATGTAGTGAAAATGTTAATCAAACACTCGGTATATAAAATGTTGAAGCAGGAAACTGGCCTCTCGAAGCTTTATAGTGGCGGTAAGCTGTAAATATTTCACATCCAGATGTGTATGGTCTGGTTGCGCGAGGATGTGCCATGGAGTTTCTTAGCTTCGTAACCGCGGAATGCAGCCAGTAGTAAGCGCGTTGCCTGCCGGGTTTTAATAGATTGCATCATTTTTGCGTTTATAATTCAAAAACTCCAGCGGCACTCGGATATACGCTCACTCTTGGATTTTCTGAAGAGCAGGGCGTGCGGAAAAAGAAAACCAAATTAAACTCGACATTGCGATGATAAAATGCGCCACATTAATTTACGAAATTTAATGAATCGGGATTAAACCAAAAGATGCATTTTTATAAACTGCATAATTTTTCAAAAATGTTTAATTACATTTTTGTTTGCGTTACCTCCATCTGGCATCATCGACGTGTGAAATTTAAAAATGTTTCAATTAAAAATATATACGCAGGTGTTAGTCAATTCGTCATATTTCCTATTTGACATGGAAAACAAACACGCATTGGATAGTTTGATTTACCAAAATCAATATGGCGGTATGCAGCATGCGGTACGCAATGCAATTGTGTTTACCCTTGCGGAAATATATAAAATAAATAGCCGTTTAATGAATTAAACAATTCGATTTAGAATTAGAACAATATGAAGTTAGCAGTTTAACAATGTAGCAAAATAGCCATATTTAATTAAATCAAATAGATTTCTGACTAACTAAACCAAGCGTAACGCAATTCAACACCGTTGAAAATTAATTATGTTGAATTAGAGAATAGAATATATTTTATGTGCATAATGGTTATTCAATGCACGTACGCAAGCTGAAAGTAAATATTCTTTTATTTAAGTAAATTTTGTACTAAATTCTGGCATAAATACGTCGTTAGGATGCATGCACGCTTCGTTTGCATTAATAAGCGGATCGTTATTTGCAATTTTGCCAGTTCTGTGGGGTTAATTTCAGTATGCAGGCGTGGCGACGTGCGCTGCATTTATTAAACTGTTCAAGGCAGCTACAGAAAAGTGCAAGAAACGTGCATAACGACTTTTCTACGCCTTTTTTACTGTTTTGTAATGGCCGCATTGAAATTACACTAGGTTTATTATAAGTAATATAAAGTTTTCTTTATCATATTTATAAAATCTGCGGGTGTTTTAAATCTTAAAGTTGACTTTATGCGATTTATCTTATAAAATCTATAAGTTGCAAGAAAAAAATTGATTTTAATCCACTAATTGGGCATTAAAATTTGTATGCAGCGTAAGTAATTTTTAAGTTCATTCATTCGTGACTTCCACACTCAAATTTCCTCACCTCATACGAGTAGTTATTACAATGCATTTAATTAACATAATTAATATTTCGTAGAGTGCTAATTATGGAAATACCACACTATTATAGTTTGGCACTTTAGCCGCGCACATGCTGCAGACATATACGCGTCGTTTCCGCTCGCGAAAATCGCCGCCGCGCCCGTCTCGCATTGTCGGCGGCGACAACGGTGTGGCGTCGCTTGTTTCGTCGGTGAGCAACCGGTGCGATGCGATGCGATGCGGTGAGACGTGTGGCGGTGGCGGCACCGAGTTGAGAAGCCGCCAGCAGCACTTCCCACCGCCGCCCGCTTCAGCTTCTTCACTCCCAAACTATTAATTGCACAATTATAGTATAAGGAGGAATTTAATTACTCTATTATAAACGCATTTACTTCGATAAATCAATGTCAATTCATTAGCCCGGCTAAGATTACGGGAGCAGACTGCCGGCGACGGCAGCGGCGTCTCGGACGTTGAATTATTGCCGCATTAGAACTTGATTCGATTTGAATGCATCGTGCAGCGGCTGCAAGACGTCAAGGATTATGCGCTAAACAAATTATAAATTATAACGGCGACTATTCGCTGCCGGCTGGTGGACGAATCCAAGCGCGTAGCGGAAAATGTCCTTCAATCAAATAAAAAAGAGAAGCAATTTGGACAATGCCGCCTCGGGAGCGTAGCTCCGGCTAAAGCGCTTGTCATGTTGTTATGAGACGTGTCTAAGAGAAGCAAAATGAAAGCCATGCACTGGGTGTTCTATCATTGAGCGTAAAAGACGCGTTGACGCATCGACAGTTCAAGAGCCGTTGTGTTTTCGGCAACGCTACATGCGGTGTACGCATAAAGGACATACCCTCCAGCCATCTTTCACTTTGATTGCCCATATACAGTCGATCGGAAGTCCATATTTGGCATTGAACTCGAGCGTTTCGTTGCTGATGTCCGCCTTCTTGGGGAAGCCCTCGTCGCCGTTCACTTGGATGACACACGGTCGCAATTCGGGCGTCAAGACTGTAACAATAAAAAAAATGAGATCGGACTCGGGTATATTTACAACAAACTGAAGCGATGCGTAAATAAATATCGACATACGCGTATCTCATAAAAAGAAAAGGGCAAACGCTTCATTTATTATATAAACAACTAGTTTTTCCCTCGTGACTGTGTCTGCGTAGACTATAATAAAATGTTGCATAATTAATTTTCTTTACGTTTCTTGTTACTTTCACTTTAGCGCCATCTCGGTCAGAATTACATAACTAAAACTATAATCAAGTTTACATAACAAAATTTCTCACTTATTTTTCACTCTTCAAGTTATAATTTCGCTACCATACTTCACAGGATTACTCGCTCAGCTAATTGGAAGAGTTACTTAAAAAATCATCAAAGCCGCTTCAGCATTTTAGAGGCTATTGAGAACACACATACACATATTCTTCTGAGTTGCGTTACAAGCGAGGAAAACGTTTCTTTTCACAACATATTCACCTCAATTTGATTAAAAAATATGAAAAAAAATAATCTCGGTAATACATCAAAATTAAAACGTATAATTAAGGTGCGTCATATACATTCGCCTTAACTTTTTTGCGCTAAAACGCTAATTTATAAACCGTTACGTCATCGCGTGTCTTATATTCGTGTCCGGGCTGTCCTGCGGCAGCGTGGTGCATAGTCGCCGCGATGATTAATTGACCCCTGCGATTCGTTGCTTAATCATCATTACGCCCGAAAAACATAAACGAATAAAGTGAAAATACAACGCAACAATGAACTCCGCCCGCATGTCGCATGTTCGCCCACTACGGCGTAGGCAGATTGTATGCAAAGGCAATTAACGTTTTTCGAAATTTATTTTTTCGCTATACATTTTTCCAGCTGGCCTATACCGCAGCCACACAATCGATTAAAGGTAAATAACTACAATGCGGATGTGCCGAGAAATTAATCATTCATAATTTCCTGCGTGTTTATTTTCAATTAGCAATCTGCATTCTCTAACGGTATCCTTTCAGGCATAGAACGCTTGGTTGGGCGCTGGTGTTCCTAAATCAACATCCTCGGGTCAAATAAGAAAATTAGCCTATGATGACAGCAGCTTGTAAACTTAACCATTATTACGCATCATATCACATGTCATCATTATTTTTATCCACCTACATATTGCGACAAAGAAAATTGAATTTTCATGTTTTTTGTTTTGCTGACACATAATAAAATAGAACAAAATATTTTTCGGAAATAAATTGTTGCGCTTCGTTGATTTTCGTAATTGAATTCAACGTCGCCGTACTGATTTAACAAAAGGGCGTGAAAATTAATTATAAAATAATTCGTGTGTGCACCAGTGGGTGGCAAGCGGAAGAGTGGAGTGGATTTCCGGTTTTCGCACATTTCGCCAGCGTCGCAAATTTCGTATTTGAGGGCACATCGATCAATCTGTGCATTACAGACGCCAGTAAATTTACTCTGATCGATTAATCGGTAAAACCTTAATGTTTAATTATTAATTAAGGCTGACGTGCATGGCTTTGATATGAAATGTTTAGGCGTCGGTATATTTATCAAGCGTTTACATATGTCGAGTGATTTATTACTCGTTTTATTGTATTTTAGAATTTCTGACAATCAATTTTATCCATTTTACAAATTCAATCCTAACTAATATTATCTATAAATATGAATGGATTTTTTTTGTTTATTTATAATGCTCTCACGTAAACACCACTAATCCAATTTTTATAAATTTTGGACTTGAAATATTTTTAACCATGTAAAATAAAATCGGGTACTTTTTGATGTAAAAATATTATTTAATGGATGAAACGTTAAGGATGAAAATTGTTATGAAGATTTAATTATAGTTATTGTCATATAACTCACACTGAGATGGCGCTAGGTAGCGAAAGTTACTGTGCATGTGTTTTCGGTTACATCCTATATTAATAGATGTCTAGATAATTCATTCATTTTTCAGTATTTCAGTATAAAAACGAAAATATACATCAAGCATTGTTCTGCATGGTGAAGTACGCCCGATGTGCATATTTTCGAAGAGGGAATTTGTTTGCCGACAGCTACGAGCATTGTCGAAATGCTAACGGGAAATTTGTGTTTCTGACCGGCGCATATCGGTATCAATCGTCGGTAACATCGGTTGCTCTTCAGGTAAATAGCGTTCGTTAAATTCATAGCTAAATGCGCACCGCGGCAGTGGCAGTGGCGGCGGTAGTGGCGTCGCTTTTCTAGTGATTTATGCCTTACCATTAATCAACTATATTTGCTATTGATTCGTTCAAAGCGCCATTGTTGCCTTGCGCGCAAATTCCAAACCGAGAGCAAAGCAAAAAAATAGCGCATTGCATGAAAAACAAGGAAGCTGTAGAGTAGCCAATATGCACTTTGTGTCAGTCGAAGAGTTATTGCTTCGACCACAAATGTGCACCGCCTCAATTCCTGCGTGGGTGGTTGTGGCGGTGGCTTCGGTTTGCGAATGTGTTGTTTACAAACATAGGTACATCTGATACTCAGCAATATTCCACGCAGTGAGGCATAACGATGGCAAAACGTACAAATTGTAAGTACTAAACGAATCAAAACGTCAGCTTGCAATCAGCAAGAATCTAATTTCAGAAAGTTTTAATGCAAAATACTGAATTATATTGAATACGAATATGAATTAAATGTTTCATACAAAATATGCACAACGTTTTGATGAATGGCACTCACTAAGTACTTTTCGTAGTTTGCATCGCACAAAATTGCATGTTGTGGCAAACGTTGAAAAGGTGAAGGTGAATGGACACATGTGAAGCAATGTGCAATGAAGTGCGGTGCATGGTCATGCATCTTTTCAAAAATTTCTCTAAAGTTGGAATAATTAATGATTCGGACTGTCGTGTTCGGCGAGCTTTCTATATTCAAGTGTTGCAAAGAATCTGTTTTTAAAGCTCTTTTTAACACTAGTATCAAAAAAATCTATTTTACGTATGAGCCACAAAACGTATTTTCATCAATTCTGGCATTAAGATGAATTAGGTCCTGAAGAAGGACATGGTGTACTGTTTGAAGTAAAAAAATATAAGATGCTTAAATAAGGTTGGAAAATTTAGACAGAAAAACGATTATAGATTTAGTCACGTAATTTGAATCGAGATGGCGCTACGAGACTGTTAATAATTAAATTCACAATATTTTTCATTAGTAAATTACTACCGGCTACACCATGGCAGACCATAAGTAGGTACTCTAATAAAATAAACTTTTAAAATACTAAAATCCCGAATTCTAATTTGATTGATATTATTTAATATTCTATAATTCACATCCTCATTTACATATCTCCTCAAGAATTTTTATGACTTTGACTAGTCGGGTTTAATTTATTCGCATCCTGCCTTCAACGGCAGTCAGTGATGGTCCAGATCAATCTATTTAATATTCATTGGCATTTTGATTGCTTTCCTCAATATTATTAATACAACTCAATATAAATCAAGGAAAAAAACATCATCATTGAAATGTAGATGTCTATCAAATACTCTACGCTACGATTATACAATTTTGTTTTTGTTTATTAAAAAAAACTGATTAAGATGCTTTTTGATGTCAACTCATAAGGTCTTATCCAATTTATGTGAATACATCTATCTAATCTAGTCCTGCGCTAAGCTCGCAGAGAAAACGATAAACTTTGGATTCTCCGTGTGCAGCTTTTTATGTTTCATGCGCCTGGCGTGAGAGCTTTTATTAACCAACCAGCTGGTGGCGCACAATCTCACCTCAAGCAGGACAGGTCTGATATTCCGCGTAAACTTTCCTAAGGTGATGCGTGCATTTTTTTCTTCTTCTCTGATATGTCTCTTCGTACCTGGGTATGCGAGTTATACGAGTTTATTACTTTTTTTTTTTCATCCGCACGATTTTTTTATCGCGTTTACCCACGTTTCGAGGTGCGGCAGGTTGTCGGTGGCTCGTATATCATTTGAGCTGATTATGCTTGCATCGTATGTGAAATTTATGACGTAATACAAGAAGCGAGCACTCATCTCGGCGTTGTTGCTCGCCTCTGGAGTTCATGTCAATAGAATAATCATCTCTACAAGGTGAGAATGACAAGTTACTCTAACCACATAAAAGTCATCTTAGAGTGATTTAAGTTGCCTACATTTACATTTACCTAACCACGACTCAAGATGTTATATTAGTTCGATATTTTTCGTATTAAATTATGCTAAAACGTGCAATTAATCTTCATTTTGTAGATTATCCTGACACTCAGTGTAGCAAATGGCAGGGCAGTAAATAGTGAGGTACTTACGGGACGTAGGCCTCGGTATAAATTCGTAAACAGCTTTGAAGCCGCGATGCTCGATGTTCTCGTCGGATCTGAAATGGATCCACAGGTGCCTATCCGAGGAGGTGAGCATCGGCGGAAATTCGAAGCCACAGAACGGCTGCAGCATCAAATTGTTGTAGCCGTGCGCTCCATCGCGCACCTCCAGGTAATCGTTCTTGCAGTCTTGACTCGGCTCCAGCTCAAACCAATCGCGAAAGTCCAGCTTGATTAAGTGTCCTTCCGGCGCTGTAACACAAACAAGCGAGTTATTACAGCTACTCCAATGGATAAACCATAAATCAACGCGATGCGTAATATTGCGATATGGGATTGATCGATGCCAAACAATTTGTCATTTTTTAAAACTTTGTAAAAGGTCATTGGACTGCTAAACACCCAGAGAATAAAGCCTATAACAGTTTAATAATTTATCTTCATCTATTATCCTGGCTTTTTACATTATACATATAAGAGAGAAACAAAATCTGTGTCGCTGCTGGTTGATTTTTCTTGATAAAATTAAAGTGTTCATTTGATTCCATTTTACAAAATGGTATTTATTAGGCAAGCGTACATTTACAGGATTTTCGGGGCAAAGCACTCCGCGCAAAATGGAATATTTCCTCCTCGTGGCTAATTGTAGAAAGTAGCCTTCCCGGCCGGCGGATTATCCTTTAATGATAATCGGAAGTACACTTGCATTTATTACAATTAGCGTAATTGCCATTGCCATTGGCGGTGAGTTTCGAAGCTAATTTTAATACTTTGAAAGCCTGAACAATTCGCAAATTCGTTTCAACTTAAATTTGCAGAACAGAACGGAGAATTAGATGAAACATCACGTCGCGTAAATTTGGACATTACCGTTTGATGTTGGATTAGTGCTTTGTTTGCTGGAACCAAAAATATAGGAGGTGTACATTGAAAAATTTTGTGTTACGTTATATTTATAAATATAAATTGATTTACATTCTTATTTCATCATAAGAACAATGTGTGGGGTGAAAATGTCAAAGTGGCAACATACCTTCAAAACAAACTTTTGTGTCATTCTTGTTCCAAGTTTATAATATAATCCCAAGGAAAGTTTGCCCGTAGCTGCGACATTTGTTTAAGAATTGTTGTTTTTTATTTTTTGCTTCATATTTTTGTAATTTAATATTTTCAACAAACTTTGCCACACATAATACGTACACCATTATGTTTTAATATACATGGTAGATTGTTCAGATTTATCGCTTACAATTTAAACATTTAACATAGAGAGCAAAATGTGCTAATGCAACTGAAATTTAATTGAGGTAATAAAAAATAATCGCGCTCGAATAAAATGGCCACGAATGTGTTCGCGCTCGTCGTCTGGCAGGTGTCAAAAGCCGCCTCCACTGCTCCAAAGCTCTGGAGCCGGCGCGCGGTGTAGATGAGCTAATGAACGAAAACAAAAAGGTCGGTACTCGTCGACATGCAAGAGAGCGAAAGAGGCGGACGTCCAGCGACATTCCGAGATGATTTACACGTTCATTATTTATACGCGAACCACATTTCGACCCGCGCCTCATTTAAATAACTTAATTCCACGTAAATTTGGCGAACTTAAAACCCGCATGGAGGTCGCCCGGCTGCGGCTTCAAATGACACTTCAGCGTTATTACGCATTTAGGGAAAATAAATCGGCACTTTCTTTTCGCCTACGTTTTTATAGCTCTCACGCTTTTTTGTCTATATATATATTAGTATTTTAATCTCATTAACACGGCAAAAAATGCACTCGTGCCACCGGCACATGCCAGGTTTGAAAAATAAACTAAATTATTTAAATTTCAGCTGTTCCGCCTAAGCCGGAGGCTTGCTTTATTTATTCTATATAATGCCGCGAGGGTGAAAGAAAAATATCACGTTTTCCATGAGGGTTTTGTTTCATTTTTTTGCGGCCGAGGCAACGAATTCGCAAACACGGAATAAAGAGAAATAGGACGGAGAGCAGAACAAATCTAGTTTTTCTTTTTGTGAAAGGTTTCTGTTTGTGGTCTGTTTACACCGCGCATTGCATTGTTTCAAAGAGGGTGCACATTTTTTACGAAGCACTGTTTTGAAGTTTTTTTCAAAAGAAATATTGCAGCTACTAGAAATATTAACCAATAATACCTGGAAAACCAATTTCCTGTTTCAAATTGCCTTACAAACGGCAAAACACAAAATCTTTATGTTTCGCAATAAAAAAAATTATCATTTGACCAACCACCACAGAAATTAATTATAAAATGTGTTAAACATATAATAACTGCAGCAATAAATTTGGCGGAATAATACCATATTTTCTTTAGCACTAGATTTCTATGCACAACGACGTGTCGTAAGCAGTCGCCCAGACGGAATTGTTTACAACCAGCCGGGCAATTGGCTTCGCTGGCGTGTGCCATCAAAGCATACATGTGCGGTGTGTGTGCTGGGAAGCGTTGCAATTCGAATGGGTTTCCCGCTTTGCACATGCACATTACACCACTGCTGCTGTCTGTACCAACATGTTGTCGCAGGACGAGCGTGCGGTGAGCGATTCGATATTGCGCTACCCGGACACTGGATCTCGTATTTACCTACGCGGCGAATACACATCAGATTTATGTGCGAGATAAAGCAGTTCAGTTTAAATAAAGCACGCGGGCGTGCGCGCACGGTTCGTGGCTACGCGCGTTAACGCTCCGCATACCTATTAGCCCCCGAGCGGAGACGATGCGAAGACGAAGCACCCACGTCGCCGGCCATTTCCTACGCCCGCACGATATTGTTCTAATTATTTAATTACCCGTGCTTGTTATGCATTAACAATGCGCCTTTAATCTCGCTATTAAAGGGTGCGTAAACCCAAATTAAGACATTTCCACAACAGACTATAATAACACAATGAACACCAAAATATTTACTGCTTGATTACAGGTTGTCCGACTGATAGATAAATGTTGTCCGAAGATAAAGGAGCTAGAAAAGCGTCTAATGATGATTATAAGTGTCTAAACCGGAAAATCGTCAAATTTTGATGTTCCGGGTTGTAATTTGTCTACAAGTTCACTGCAAGTGCGCAAATTGCACAAAACGACAAAGCGCGCTCAAACAGAAATACACACTCACACATTGTTATCTTGAGAGCGAAGTTCCTTGTAGTAATCTCTTAATCACATGTTTTGTAGCCGGTATTTGCACAAAACGACGCCGCGTACTTATCTTGCTCTCCGTGCGCGTCGTCCGGAAGCCATTTTAAGTTCGTGGCAATAAAATCGTCGATTTACGAGGTCGTACGGTAATTACACACATTTGGATTGGTTTCACGTTTCACGGCAACATTGAATTATTTTTGCACTTAACAAATCAGGGGTTTTAGTTAATTTCACCCATATTAACCTAATTTAAGTTAATTTCATTTCAGTATTTACTTTTCAAGTTAAACTAATTTCAAAATCGATTGTGTTACAGTATGTAAAACACAAAAATTTATAAAAATTAATTTATTGGGTTTGCTTAGACTCATTATATCCTGAAAATTATCATTGACATAACTGAACAATATCGTGTTTTATCGTTTGATAGAAGATAAAATCATTAATATTTAATTAAAACGACCGATAATAGTATATTAAGTATTCAGTGGAAACGGGAAGTTTTGAGCGTTTAATCGATCGACTGTTTAACAACGTTTAGTCACGTTATGTTTACGCTATTTGTTCGTGGCCCGTGACTAAAGTATTTTAGATACAGCCTTGGCAGTCCATGTTAAAGTACCACTTTTTGAGTCTAAGAACTCTGGAAAAACTGGCGCTTTAAAATTGGAAAAATCAAAATCATAATTTTAAGGCAATAAAATAAACTGCAATGTTAAAAAATGTTTAAAAGGAAAAATGTGTTACTATCAACTTTAATGATTTCTACGTTGAAACTTAATTTTTTAAACTTTAATAACTCTTAGAAATGATTGATCAAGAGTACCTATTAATATTTCTGAGGAAAAATAAATACATGACTATACTCGTACTTGCTAATACTTAAAAAATAATTTTTATTTATTATGATGTATCACGCATGAATGTCCTTAATAACAAAACTGAATTAAATTCAGTTATTAATCAATTGATTAAAAACGACATTTGATAAAAAATGCTATCATATTTTGACGCAACGGTAATAAACTAATATTCTATAGCTTTTTGTTGAAAACTATAAAAAATGCTCGCAAATTAATGAAAAGACTACAATGTATACTCAATTTGATACGATGTGAAGTATCGTTTCGTTGCACTGCACATCACCATAAATTTACAATTTAATAAGCTCCCCTAAAAAGATGACAGACACGCGATGAAAACGATGGCGTGACGGTGAAAAAAATGCTTCATCACAAGTATCATCACGAGAGCACTCCTCGGCGCGTTAAAAATCGAAAACACACGTGTTTATTCCCGGTGCCTTACGGTGCCGAGGGGCCGAAGTGTTTACATTGCGCAATCCTGTCGGGAATATTCCACACAGGATGTCTTTTTTTGGCCGCGCCACAAATGTTCCGTTCGTGCATCATGGTGCGGTACGTATTTGCGTATCAAAGGAGTAATTTAGCGAGCATGAAGAGGCTTATAATACACGTCGCGCATGCGCATGTTATACACGCTGCCCGGTGCATTCACTTTTAATTAGAATATGATCCTGCTCACAGCAGTTTGAAGTGGATTTCGATGGGGCACATGATTCAAGTGGAATGTCACTCAGGGATAGATTTTTCATCGTTTGTTTTAGCGCCAAAAAATGTTACGGGTAGTATGTGGCGATAGAGGATCAGAACATAAACAAACACAGTAAACCAACAAAACAAAAAAAAGCATAAAAATCTTGACAGCTGCAAACAGCGGAAGCGGGTACAAAACTCCCGGCATTGCCGAGGTCCTACTACTATGCTAACGTAATAGGTTCAGTGGTTTCGACCGCGGTGGATTTTATTTCATAAATTACTTTTACGTTGATGACTTGTACAAATGGTCAGCGCAACATAAATCACAACGACATCGCTGCTTACATAAACACTGATGGTTTCAATAAAAATATTAAAATAACAAACACCACATAAATATACACCTTTTAATCAAAGAAATAATAAATTAAACCATAACACAATTCAAATTGAATTAAGTATTAAAATTTTAAATTTTACTGCTTTGTCGTAGGGTATTTTATTTATTTTATTGCCAGAGATTGCATGCAAGATA